ATTCGTGTGGGCACAGCCGCTATCACTCGGGCAAATTGGACATCTAGAATGGCCTGGAACGGGGCTACACACCGTCGAATCCCAATATCCGTGTATGTTCCCTCTGTGTTGGTCTCCAGCGATCAAAGACGAGTCGGTTGTGACGGCTGAGTCAACACAGAGCGGGAGCCTCGATCTCCCTGAAGATAGAGTTTAGGCCATGGCCTCCTTTCTCTTCCCCCGCAACGTCGACACTGCGGTCGTACTTCTATCCAGACCCTCTCTCACATCACAAGGCCCAGCCGCTGTGATGATTCCATTTCGAATACCGAACTTGTCGGTGTCATAGGCCGTCGATAATGGCAAAGCATTCCTGTTCGGATGACACAATATCTCGTATCGCAGAATACGGGGGAGAGAACCCTCTGGGCAAGGAGCAACCTCACTCCAATTGATGTCCCTCCCAATGCCAACTCGATTTCATCCAAGCTGACATGAAGGTAGCCACCGTGCTTTTTATCTTCTTTTAGAGAATGGATTGTGCTGATGCCATGGTGCTGTCTAAAAGAGAGGTCCGTCGCCCATAGTGCATTCTGTTCTGCTTCAGCACGTCTTGCTCGCACACCGTGTTTGCGACAACGAATCCTATACCCTATCCAAATGGCAATCTGTTGCCAGATCCCTAGTTGCCAGGCGCAAGTGGAGTTCGAAGGCTTCCGGAGCAGAATTCGATACGCGTCGGAATCACAAATTGGCTCTATGGCAGAACTCTGTTCATTGAGATGTCCAACGCGTCCAGCTGGGCATCAAAAAGGTGTGTGGCAGAAACCGGTGCTATAGTCCGCGTGGATATAACAGAGTTGGGCCCTTCTGACTTGGAAACAGATAAGGATTTTAAGAAAACAATGTTCCGATTTTAATTGAATGGTTCCACTCTTCCTTCTTGCTCCTAACTTGAAGCGCTTGGATCAACCAGGTTCGAGGGAAATTCAATTTGAAGTAGAGTGGTAAACTCTCGAGTCACAGTCAGAGTTACACTGGAACGAAAATTGAACAAAAATGAAACGCGTTGACTTGATGCCTCAAGCAGCTTCATAACACTGAACATGGTTCCAATGCTTCTACTCTGCATGAAGCTATTTTAAGCTTGTGTGATCAGAGAGTCCGCTGCCAGCGTTTAGTGGATTCGGGGAATTGTGCTGCTGCATGGGTCTCGTTGCGTGACTCGTGCACGGTTTTCAGTCCTGGCCATTTCAATGCATCGGTGATGTTCTTCGCTCACCTCTGCGCATCTTAAACTCCTTGATTTGGCAGTCGTTCCGCTTCCACATTCAAACTGGAGACGATATTTTCCCATGCGTGTTGAGTTGGGGTCACATTACCGATGTATTCTGCGTGTTGTAAATCTATCTGCGCTGGATGCAGTCAGCAAACAGGTCAAGTTACGTTCAGGGATAGTTAGCTATCCCAGTCAAGACACATACATGTCGAGCTACTGAACGATACTTGACTCGAGCCGTTCGCCATGGCTCGAAGCCAGGTACAAAATGCACAGCACAACAGCGCCGTTTGATGCCCCACTGCCCGGCCACATGGCCTTTGAGAATTGGCACCGCGATACCAATTCAGAGGTGTCTGCTCTCAACTATTTCTATTGGGTTAAGCGGCCCTTTCAAGCAGAGGAGCGGGGCACCAGGCAAGGAGCAGGGAACGCCAACCAACGATAAGTTTAAAAGGCGTCGTCAAATAGCGGTCGCTTATTATTCTATGGTACAGTACCCTGTACTTGTCAGCAGGAGGGGGCTGCCTTGACGCACAACCAGCTCCCCGTTTTCCTTGTTGCATAAGTTGCCCTCCATGTCCGAGTCATCAATGCGAGAAGATTCAGGGGCTTTTCTAAGGCGGATTTTATGAACTTCGCCCTGAAATTTAAAATATTTGCGGCTGTTGGGATGGTACAAAAGAGCGAGCGTTTCCGTCCTGTGTTTGGCGAAAGAGCAGTCATCTAACCCGGAATCGATTGAAATCACGATGGCAAATAGCCCTACTGATCCAAACGGCGAAGCCGTCCGACGAGCGCTAGAAGCAGCCAGAAACAACCAAGATGGTCAGATAGACCCCAGAGTGAGCGCAATCCTTGAGACAGCTATCGGCGAGCTTTGGCGGAAGATACAGTCACAACCTGATTCCTACATATTAACTGACAACGAGTTTGCGCTGTTCAACTATTTTCAAGACCGATTTCGCGAATCCGCCGTAGCTCAGCGAGCAGTGGCACGGTATTGGAATAACGTTCAGGGGGCACGCTCTAATCCTGACGGAAACAAGCCATGCAGTGGCCAATACTGACCACTGTATTGCACGTTCCGTCCCTGAGGAATTTTGGATCTGGTCATATAGTCTCTGCAGAAGTTTACCCTTATTCCCCATGCAAAGGCGGCTCGAAAACCCGGCGCTCTAAGCTTCAAACGCCTCGAACTCGCTCTCATGCAGCACTTCGTTACACCTCCTCTTCATTCTCGACGCTTTTTCGTCTACTTTAATCCTTTTTAACGCGCACACGATTATCATGCCAAAAGCTCATCGGCATTGAGACGGAAGTATTGTGATGACCAGGTGCTATGGAGTTACTTGCGGGGCCCCACGCTCCGGAACTTCCGCTTTGAAGCCGATGTCTAATCTCCGGTAGATCGTTAACTGGATAGTTGCCGGATATCGACCGCAATACGGATAGGGGTCGAACTTCTGAACGCTTTCAACATAAGAGGCAGCTTTTCCTAAGACATTCCATTTGTGTTCGATGCATAACAATAGAACGTTTCGGGGAGATAGGGAGGAATAATCTTGTCTTGGTTGAAGTCATCGGGGGGCTGTCAACTAATCCACATACATCCCAACTACGCGCCCCCCCTTCTCCCTCCCTCCTTGTGTCCATTTTTGGGTGATATTGGGTTTTATGGAAAGTTATTGCCCTTCAATTTTTGAGGCTTCGAGTTTCGTTTGGTCACTTGAGTCATGAATGTCATTTAGAATCTGTTTTGTTCCCTCTTAATTTTTAATCTTGGATATGCTGCTTGCACAAAAAAAGGCGTTTCAGGGGCTCCCCCAGAGCGCTTAAGATCTCTTGGCCGAATCTACCCCTAACCGTTTTTCTATCACACGCCATATTGGGCCGTTGCTCCACGTACACGATGTGGAGAGAAGAGTTATTTGCTGAAAATAGCTTCCTGGTGGGTCTTGGTTTGCTTTTCCTTCATTCGCTGCGCATTTCCTCAAGGATGCATGGGGATGAACGTTTTGTGTTGTATATCTGAATCTTAATCAACCTTCACATCGTACTGATTAACAGGCATTATGATTCAGGGTCTATTATTGCAGCTGTATTACTATTTTTGAGAACCAATGCCTCAAATAAGTGCTGCCGGCACTTCTAGGAGGTAAGGATTCGGAGTTACATGGCTCGGGAAGTATCAGGTAAGTGAGGACCCCGGGTTTTCAGGAGCCCAACTCTTGACTGATTACAATTATCGATATAACTACCTGCGAGAAACCTTTTACTTAGTTAAAGCGCCGAAATTGCGAGCTGTGGCGCTTTTGGGGAACATCAAGGTCAGTCTTGTGTGGCTAACCAATAAATATTTGACAACCCCCACGGCTCACATGGTTCATTACTCGACTTCTTGACAGTTGGCAAGGCACTCTGCCATTTTAGGTGCACTTTAAAGGACATACCGGGGTGGTCGCTACCGCTCTTCTCTTCAATCAATGCTAGACTAACAACCAGAAGAAAGCCGATGTGGAGGCAGCTAAACTTAACAAACTTCCAAGCGCTCATCTCTTGGTAAGTCACGGAAACCACTAAAATAAGGTGTTTCCGTAGATAGTTCGTTTTCCGGGGATGCAAGGCGATTGCCTTTTGGACTAGTTGCCAGCATTGTTCAACTTGGTCCATGTGCCAACATGGGATGCTGCTCATTGATCCCCCCGAATCTCGGCACGGATGTCTCCGAGCTTGATATTGGGAGCCTCTTCGGGAAGCTGGCATCACTGCAAGACGATTTTAAAATCCTTGGCTTATCTCTCGGGACCGGGAACGCTCTTGCAGCAACATGTTTGGCAAGAACTCAAATACAGAAGAGAAACAATGCAATGTCCATCCAATCCACGTTCAGTACGGCGTAGGAAACTGGCCTTTAAAGAGCGAAGTTCACCATACACGGAACCGATAAAAGATACGGTACCTACTACCCCGGGCGGGCAAAAGTATCTGGATTTATGGGAGGACTTACTTAGACCGGTCAAAGAACATGCAAGGGTGGTGAAGAGTGAGACATTACAACAGCTCACACGCAAAACGTGGAGAGGACTTGAATACGAGGAGTCCCAGTGAAAGCGTGCTCCGTCTTTACCTGTTATTTTTAGCGCCGCCACATGTGCATGTGGAGCTGTTCTGCAAGTGAGAAATGAATCGCGGATGATGTTATGCGTCGCGCAAACCTCTTCTCCTTCGGACTCGAGTGTTTGGGGAGCTCTGGCCCTGAGATTGACGTGGTTCGTTCCCAGGAAAGGAGTCAGGGCAAACGTCGAGATATCAGCCTCAGAATACGCCAGTACGTCCAGGCATCCATACAAGCGGCTGAGCGACGGGAACTAGGTAGGATTCATGATCATCTCCCCCGCTTTCTCTTAAGCTTGCCAACGCAACATAGATGCTGGTCACCTGCTTGAAAAGGTCAGCAACAGTATATTTCTTAAAGAAATCAACTTCCGCTGACCGAGATCTACCACGATCATCCGCCTTGGGCTACTGGGCTCGGACCCTTATTTAGATGCTGCTATTGCATTGTGCTATTTACCCTGGCAAGGGCTCCGGTATGGATGACATCGAAAAACTAGGGTTGTCATCCTCTTTTCATCTAATAAGCGCAAACACATCCAAACCAATCCTACTTTTATGTGTCCCCCGATCTACGAATGACTATGGCTCTTTCATACCCTGGATCCGATTCGGATTGACGTCATTTATTCGCAACTCAAGAACACCGGAATAGCGAGCCATGTATAGATTCCGAGGTGTAAGCCGCAATTTGGGGCAATGCGGTTTATCCCAGATATCCCAGCGTCGCACAACCGTCCTTCGCAAACCCTGCTATAGAGAAGAGTTTGAAACGGTCGCCCATGAGATTCTACGATGGTCGATACCATAGACCGTTCTTAGATTGATTCCTACATCAAACAACCACTTTAGATGTTTATAGTGGACCACAAACGCCGGGTGAATTGGCCCTGATATCAACAGGCAGAGGTGAGCACCGCAACAAGGCAAACACCCCGCACAATGGTTCGCCATGGCTGCCTAGCTACGTTCCACGAGGAGTGCATGGTTTAGGGCGACAATGGGGGAAATAATCTCCTCCAGGTAGAGCCTCGGCGTTGGATAGGTGATTGAATACCACTCGCGACAAGATCAGATGATGGTGGCTTGCTGCGGATGGAATCCCCCCGTGCCATGGCACCCCCAAACCGATGCAAGGATACTCGCGTTTGTGGTAGATGATCGCTGCGGAGGTCGGCGCCATCGGTTTCCAGCCATCGATTGGGTTGTTTTGAATCGCCATCATCGTTCAGGTGCGAATGCTAGTCCCAACAGAAAAGAGTTTAGGACCTTGCTCCTAGCAGGAGCGGGTCTTGCTAGTTGGGCTAGGAAGGCTCCTCTGCTTCTTTGGTCGTTTCCGTTGCTAACAAGGAGTCCACCGCCGCAGACGTCTCATATAATCGTTTGGCGCTTTTAGGTGCTCTGCATATTGGATGACAATCTTGCAGGGATGTGACAGCCGTTCAGAGCCGCCCGGCTCCTGTTCATCCCCAAGAGGTCCTTTGTAAATCCTCACAGCTGAAATTTGTCCATGATGGAATATGTCCATCTTTTGGGGGGTGCCTTGAATACATTCAAGTATGTACAGCTATCTCTTGCTGCAAGCCAAACACTAGTTAACTAATTTTTACTCAAGCTAGATTGAATTTCGGTCATATTCGGCTCAATGTCCTTATCAGTTATAAGCCCCGTTTGACCAATACCAATTTCAGATCAGGGGTTGGGTTCGGTTCGGTTGAAAATATCAATCAAGAATATACTTTCGCGCACTGTACAAATATCGAATCCCTTCAGAGCGGGAGTAAGATGTTCTTTTAACTATTGGTGGCTTTAACCCATCAAAAACTCCTAGTAATCAACTTGAGGCTACAGACTCTTACAGAGTGCACCTTCACGCATGATACTTCAAATCTCCCTGCCATTCAGATCAGTTTCTGCTAATGGTGACGAGGAGTTGCAGCCCAAACCAGGGATACTCTCATATGTCCATTCGAGCCCCGCCACGTTGGATCGCGTGGAGAAAGGAGGCTGGCTGGGTTGGGTTGCTGAGTAGTGATTGTGAAGACTTTACTTTGGTTGTTCGTCGGATAAACGGCTTAGATGGTATAATTACTAGCTACGGATCACCAAATTAGGGCCTTTTGTATAAGATCTGATGAACATTGGAGAGTCTTCCATAGACGGACCAATCTGCACCGCTACCCCCTTCTGAGAGATGCTCTAGGCTGCAAACTCGGCAGCAAATCTGAACCTTTGGAAGAATGAAAGCGTTTGGGGCTGGATTTCTATTCAGGATGAGTATCTAACTAACAATCAATTTCAAAACTCTATCTATCTCTAAATTGTGGCCGGAATCTCAACTCCTTGCTTCGTGCTCTGTTAGGGATACGTATATGTAAATATAACTGGTAGAATATGAAGGAAATGGGGATTGAAGTAATAACACAATGTAAACATGGAAGGTATTGGGCTGCATCCGTTTAAAATAGCCATGATTTCACCTACTGCGGGAGACTCTGGTCCATCTGGATCGCATTGGGAGCGGTATCTGTGGTTTTGGGGTCAGAAACATAAAATTACTACCATAGTGAAAGGAAGGGGACTTACTGTTTTGCGTGGAACTAGACCCTGCCGACCTGCCCCTTTCCACGTCTTTTCTTGTCACCCCAGCGCGCGATTTAGGGAGGCCCATGGAAAGCAGGAACTGAACTGCCTCGCTCCATTCGAGGTTCTTGCGCTTCTCGTCCCACGCAAGCTCTTCTGCCATTATGTCTACGACAGTAGGAAGGGCTTCAAGAGCAGCGCGAGCATTAAGGAAAGCCAATCTGGTTCTTCTGGCAAGAACATCCACTGCCGTTTGTGCGTATTCACGTCGCACCGCAAATCGAATTTCCCCGTCTATGAATGGATAAAGAGGAGAAATGCGAACTCCACAAAGGGGGAATCGAATCTGTGTCGGCGATGACATAGCTGCTACTTCCCAAGCACGATCGCCGTAAGATTCCGTCAGGTGTTGAGCAACGTCAGTAGCCAATCCAAAGTGCTGTATAAGGTTGATGAATAGTGTCTTTGAGTAGCCGTGAGCACCTATGAGGCGGACTTGATGTGTCTGACAGGAGCCGTCGAGAACTGCTTGATCGACATGGAAACCTGTACCGCTGATATCCGGGATTGTCGCAAGGCCCTGGGGGTGAAGGTTGAATTGCTTGATGGCTTCGTCCACCGCTTCTTCTGCCATCTGGCGGTATGTGGTCCATTTTCCACCCGCACAGGTTAACAAGCCAGATTTCGATACTGAAACCAAATGGCTTCGAACAAGAGACTCTGTATTTTTGGCCTTGGGATCGCGCACCAACGGACGGATGCCAGACCAAGCAGCGAGGACATCGTCCCGTCGAACGGTGATATCTGGAGCCAAATATCCCCGGATTTCTGATAGGATCCAATTGATGTCGTCTTCTGAAGGTATTGGCTGGGGCGTTATTGTTGTTGGACTATCCGTGGTGCCTGCAATCGTGTTCCCCTGCCAAGGTAAAAAGAAAATAACTCTGCCATCAGAAGTAGCTGGGTCGATGAGTCCCATTTTTGCGGGACTATAGTAACCAGGCAGGATTACATGAGCTCCGGAACTGGGCGCAACGATCTCGGCAATGCTGGGATCATCCATCCTTCGAATAGAATCCGTAAAGGGTCCTGTGGCATTTATGACGCCCTTAGCCCTGACAGTGAACTCCTCAGTTTGACCGTCTTTCTCAGCAATAACGTCTTTTACCCGTGCTCCTGTAAGCTTTCCATTTTCATCTTTTGTTAAGCTGGTTACCTCCAGATGATTTACCACAGTGCACCCATATATGGCGGCTGTCATAGCCAAAGATACATTCATACGGGAATCATTATGTGCCCCATCTATGGCAGGTTAGTTCGATTCGTAAACACTGCAAAGGGATTTGGCAATTACCATAGTAAACCAAAGCACCAAAGAGGTTATCCTTCTTCAGCATCGGGAAAGCATCCACTGCCTTGCTTTTGGGCAAAAAATAGGAGCTTTCAATTCCTTCAGAGCCCGCTAAAATATCATAAAACTTTGTGCCAGCCCAAAAGTAAGGCACTTGCCACCACTTTTGCACGGGGAGCATGATAGGCAGCCACATTGAAAGATGGGGGGCTGTATGAAGGAAATATTTCCTTTCGCGCAGTGCCTCTTTGACCAATGAATACCTTGGGGCAACAGTATTAGCATTATCCACCAAAATGATGCGCTCGAGGGACATACTGGTTGTAATCAAGCTCCCAAACAGCCTTCTCCAGGTAACGAACGCCCCCATGGACAAGCTTCGTGCTTTTACTACTTGTGCCGGCGCTGAAATCATCACGTTCTACAACGGCAACTTTCAATCCACGCGTGGCCGCGTCAAGCGCAATGCCAGATCCAGTTGCTCCGGCACCAATGACGAGGAGGTCGTATGACTCATCATTGCGTACGGCTACCGTATTGTTACCCCGAGCGCCAAAAACTCCGTCGTCCAACTTTTCTTTGACTGCATCCAGAGTATTTTCCGTCGAGCTGCGCTTCAAATCACGAATCTGTTCGTCTCGACTTTTTATAGGAGGGAACTGGGGAGGTAGGAGTTTCCCATCTTCACCATAGCGGGGAGGTGGCACAGCGGCTGGATCGGAGCCTGGTATGTTCCGTGGTCGGTAGGATATATAAAGAACACCGCCGGCACCCGCAATTGCGGCGACCGTATACAAGAGAGGCTTCAAAAGCCTCCTTGACTGTCTTCCAGCCATTGTTCTGAGTTAGGATAGTTCTCGGGGCGCAGAGAACACAATAAAGGGACAAAGATTAGCGATCTCTGGGAATATAGATAGATGCCTCTCAAAGCAACAAACAGTGTCTAGGACCAAACGCCGCAGTCTAGCATGTGATGGACACCGGTGCAAATGCAAAACAAAGAGAAAGTCACTCAAACAACCAACAAAGGGCGAAATACACACGAGCAACAGCCCAGACACCACACCTTGCAATGAACGAACGGACTGAGCGAGAGATGTGACGAGAGAGAACGGTCATGGACAGCGGTTGAAGAGGGGGGAAAAGCTCTGAAAAGCTTTCAGCGGGATCGTCATTGGGAATGGTACCTGGGAATACCTGGACTCTAGGCATTCCTGTCTCGGTCGGGCAAGTCTTCCCAGGTACCACTTCAGTCGTGCATCGGCCCAAAGCAAGGACGTCATCGGCAAAGTTGCCCTTCACGGAGCCAGGATGGGGCCCGTCGGCCAATCAGCATCGAGATCTGTCCCACACGCGCCACCCGAAACGGGCTTAGCGCTCTCGGAGCATAGATGTCCCATACCGACATCCCGCCGCAGCATGTGACAACTCGTATTAGTCAGCCAAACCCATTGCGGCGGCTTTCTCTCGCTGGCGGCCGGAGTTTTGATGAGACCAGGCCGAATGCGCACAGTAGCGAAGGATTCCAAGTCAGCAGAGACTCGCTCATGGCTTCCGGCATGAAGAATAATAGTCCATTGCTCGCTGCAGCTGGAGTCGTTGCACACTGCTCGCGCGGAATGCGCTGTACGCGGGTGGCCATCAGGCGGGTTCGACCATGAAGTGGCTCTGTGATACCCCCAGCATTAGTAGTTAACCTATTAATAAGATATATAGATCATGGCAGATGGAGAATGCCGGTTTAATATTGTCTGCAAAAGATAATGCCGGAAAGCAAAGCAAACTTGAAGTCATCTCGCCGAATCAAGCGCCAGCCGCGGAATGGTTCCGAAGCCCGGAATTCGTAGGCGAGCAACCATCGAATTTAGGCGCCGGCCTTGCATCACAAGTGTGGTCGCCAGGCCGACCGCCCCCCGGTTCCCCAGCTTTTGGAGCCCCGTCCAACTTGCTCGTATCTCCGTCGCGTGGGGAAGCTGGGGTCTCCCGCGGCGGAACAAATTCCTTTTGTTGTCTCTAACCCGATTTAGCCGCTGCACGCTTGTCGGTAAGGGTATAATAGTGCCAGCTGCCCAATGATGGCCCGGCCGTTGATCATCTTTCGTCACACCGGCCGAGTCGACAGCTGAAGTGCAATATGGCGTTGGTATCGATTGTCTCCGAGCTCAACTCGAGTGCTATCACCCATCCGTTTCGCGCTCTTGCCGTCCTCGCTCTCTTGATTCCGGGCGTCTATGTGATCTTCAACGAATTCGTCCGGGCCGCTGCTCGCGTGCCTGGCCTCAATGGGCCGAAGGGCTTCCCTTTGATTGGAAATCTGTCGCAGATCCGAGTGAACGCTGCAGAACAGTATCGCAAGTGGTCGAAACAGTACGGACCAGTCTATCAAATCCAGCTCGGCAACATTCCAGTCATCGTCGTGAATTCCGCCGCCGCGGCCAAAGTTCTCTTTGGTCAAAACGCACAGGCCCTGAGCTCTCGTCCGGAGTTCTACACTTTCCATAAGGTCAGAGTCCGCTCCTCGATTGCGGGGTGGAGATTGGGGCCTGCGAAGAGACGGCTACGAGTTCAGCAGACTGACATTTTCTTTACGAATAGGTCGTGTCCAATACTGCCGGGACGACGATTGGCACATCTCCGTTTAGTGAATCACTCAAGCGACGAAGAAAAGGTGCCGCCTCGGCGTTGAACCGACCCTCCGTGCAAACCTACGTCCCGCATCTCGACCTGGAATCGAAGGACTTTGTCGCCGAACTCATGAAGTATGGAAAGGCCGGACGCGTTGCCGTGGACCCCATGCCCATGATTCAGCGGCTCAGTTTGAGTCTAGCTCTTACGCTCAACTGGGGTATCCGCATGGCTTCGCAGGAGGAAGACCTCTTTGCCGAGATTACCCATGTTGAGGACGAAATCAGTCGGTTCAGAAGCACAACCGGGAATCTGCAGGACTATATCCCACTTCTCCGCTTGAACCCTTTTAGTGTTGGCTCCAAGAAAGCTGCTGAAATGCGTGATCGCCGCGACAAATATCTAAAGTACCTCAACAGCGGGTTGGAGGACAGGATGGCCAAGAACGAGCACAAGCCGTGTATCCAGGCGAATGTTATGCTTGACAAGGAAGCCAGACTCAATAACATCGAACTCACGTCCATCAGTTTGACTATGCTTTCTGGCGGTCTAGATACCATCACAACCTTGGTAGCCTGGAGCATCGCTTTGCTTGCTCAACGGCCTGACATTCAGGACAAGGCTGCTGCAGCGATCAAAGAATATCACTCCGTCGATCAACCACTATGTGATGCTATGGATGACCAGCGCTGCGAATACATCGTTGCGCTTGTCAGAGAATGCTTGAGGTAAGCTCGGACCATAAGAAATTTAACCTTGCATCTGCGCCTAACCTTTTCGCTTAGGTACTATACTGTGCTCCGTCTCGCATTACCTCGTACATCGATCAAGGACATCACATACCAAGGAAAAGTCATTCCCAAAGGCAGTGTCTTCTTTCTCAATGCTTGGGCATGCAACATGGGTAAGCAGATTTTTCAATCGAAAACACAACTTGGTCCTGCATATCTCTAATCACTCCCTCAATTCAATATAGACCCCGATGTATGGTCAGATCCCGAGGTCTTCCGGCCCGAACGTTGGCTGGAACAGCCCGACGCGCCAATGTTCACGTACGGAGTTGGCTATCGTATGTGCGCTGGCTCCCTCCTGGCCAACCGCGAGCTGTACCTCGTCTTCCTCCGCACGCTGAATTGCTTCCGTATCGAGCCAGACGGCAAGGTCGAATGGGACCCGATCAGCGGCAACTCTGACCCTACCAGCTTAGTCGCCATTCCCAAGAAGTACAAGGTCAAATTCGTTCCGAAGAAGGAGAAGCTCCTGACAGAGGCCCTTGAAAACTTCGTTCCTGTGTCCGCGTGAGCGACGGGATACGATAGTGACTTTTTTGAGGGAGGTTGAATCGTGCCACAATTCCCCCCTTCTCTGCCCCTTTCCCGCCGGCATAGCCCTTACTCGGCTTGCCGCGCATCTCATCTTTTCTTTTTGTTTTTTTGCCTTTTTCTTTTTAACCTTCTTCCTTGGTTGCACAGCAGCAGTAGTGGGCAGCACAAGATACAGCAAATCTGCCTTTTTTTTAAAAGCACCAGATCATCGCAATGTCGAGGCAGACGGGAGCTCGGTTACCGCCGGGGCTGTTGAGGTGCATCATCTACTGGAACCACACAGCGACCCGGGGACAAAAGGAGGGCTTTTTCGGTGGCAAGTAACCCACTCAGGGAATTGGTTTTATGGGCAGTGCGGTATAGAAAGGGGCAAAACAAAATTTTCGGGCGCGGCGACTCGCGTTACTACTTTTCCAGCTAAAAGAAACGAACAGGATAATAGGATGTCAGTCGTGTTGACCCGATTGGTCAAAGGGTTGAGTTATCGTTGCATATTTCTGAGCTGGCTCCATTCCTGTGAATATGATCTTATGGTTGGATTATATTGCTTGCCAAAATGACCTTGTTGAGTATGTAAGTACTAAGGCTTCATGGCGGCATTGTTCTCCATGTTATGAATAAGGGAAATGAGATAGATGTATGAATCCACTAGATCCGTTATTTATTTTAGAAGGATTGTTCATTTTTCTTCCAAGTGAACAACGACAGATGGTCGACTGCTGTTTGGAAAAAAACGACCCTGAAACAAATGCAGACCAATGGCTGCTACGGGAGCCCATCATGCAATAATACAGCAGATCGGGGGGCGAACGCCTTTCCCTGACGGTTTCAGCAGGGCGCAAGTCTGCCCAAAGAGGCCCTATCAATCGCCGGGCTGCGGTATGAATCTTTCGGGACACGGACGAATAGCAGTCCCAAGACAAGCCTGATGGAACGTTACCCAGAAGACGTTCTAACACGACGAATAGAAGTCTCTGCAGCCCACGATTGGTTCGAAGCCGATGACTACTATAGGCGGGAACCACGCCGTGGAAACCCTCATGCTTGAACCTCATTATTGTCGTCTTTACTGGCCCTTGTCGGTGGGGGGAGGTCGCATCTCCTCCTAAAGGGACGTTTATAGGGAAACATCCGTGAATCGTTTCGGGCGTAGCAGGAAGCGGGCCTTTTCGTCTAACCCCCAGTACAACTTCTTTTCAACAGGCCTTCAACTGGAGGTCTTTTCAGGTCTGTCTGACTAGCGGGAAGCGTGATTGGACAGTGTGGAACTGGCAGATATGGAAGATTGTGTTGTTCGTTGCAGGCTCTAGAGAGCGATTGGTTAGCATAAGATTGTGGAATAATTCGATACCACCTTCACTGCCGTTTGATATCGAGATCTTGGATACCGCATGGTTTCCGTCTTTTTGATTGGAGGTGGCAATTTGGTCATGGCTTGTCGCTATCCTTCACACTTCCAGTGAAGAAATCCACGGTTCAGGAGCTTATGAGGAGTTGTTTCCGCAGCGTCGGGTCTTCAGTCACAGAGCTTCGAGAAGGCCTTGTCAGGACAACCATGGATACCATTCCAGGACTTTGCAATTCTTTTCGTTTCAATGACATCCTTGCATGCAATCTTTCAACCTCTTATCAACTTGAGCTCGTAAACAAACCCAGATTCAAGGGTATGTTTATGCAATGTTGAGTGAGACTTGTCTACTATATACAAAAACGGAGAAATCAACGGTTGACATGTGTATTTCAATGGGGGGTTGCGAAAGAACTGCCTCTCGGGAATTGGGAGAGTAAGGTTACTTGGTTTGATAGGGGGCTAAAGGGAGCAAAGATATAGACGTATCCTTCGACGTCCCTTGTGGGAAAGCAGCGCGACCACGTCAAACAGGGCGATAGAGAATGACAAAGTCGTCCTCTCTAGGAAGGAAGGAGAACCTAGAAGTCCCCGGTCGGCATACGATGATATCTCGGCGATGAAAAGATTCAATCGCATCCACCTTTTCCAGGGCCTTGATAGGGTTTCATCGTCCCCCACGTATCTCAAGGGCTAGAGAGCGCGAAAACCGAACAATGGACCATGTATCGACATACATGGCGCATGGAATGCAATGACAAAATACATACATTGCAGGCAGTATTTTGACTGCATGCAATTCGATGGTCGCAGAGCTGGCTGCAGTCAATCCCCAATCAACACGAGGTTTCCTCAAACATTTCTTTCCTTCTCCCTTTTGTAGCTCTAGAATTAGAATTCCTGAATGGCCCACGATACATGGGCACCGGTCAGAACGAACCCCAGGATCGCGCGTCCACTCTCCATCAGCCCCGTCTTGTGCGGGGAGAAGGGCCAGCAAGATGACTTTTGGTTGTGTGGAGCAAGCGACCCAGGGACAGGCTCCACATGAGATGCAAATCTTTGGACAGGCAAAAAGGAAAAAGATGAAAGAAAAAGCAAGCAATGAAATGTGGTCTCCAGAGGTACTCCATAAACAGGAGTCCATCCATACATAGCCGCATCGGATATAGTTATCACTCCGGAGATAGGGAATCGAAAGTAGAAACTGGTAAAAATGTCTGGTGCGAAGAAACCAAACAGCTTCATTCAATCGTGCTCTTGCATGAACCTGAGCTCGTTGTCACCCAAGCCTCAGTGCTTTGTCTGATCGAGCGCCAATCCCCATCCAGCCGTGTTTGCAAGGATGTGGACGTGTGTGTATTGTCTGTGTGGCTGTTACATTGAAGCATCCCGGAACCAAGACGCCGGTCTTACTTCCCAAATCGTCGTCGTGCAGAAAACAGCTGCAGCTCGCTGCTGGTTTGAGGACAGATCGACGCAGGGGAGGGAAGAGCTTTCATTGATTTTTCTTGTCTTTTGCCAAAGCGTTGATGTGGTTTCGATTATTGATTGTGCCTTAATAATGGGCGACAAAGCTGATTGTGAGAGGACCTTGATGAGCTGCGTTCAACCATTCTGAAGTGGCGCTTTCAATTGCTAGTTCTTTGGGCATTTGAGGCGAGAAAGAGCGTGAACTGCGAAGTTCTAGAGGTCAGTGCATCTGCAACAAGAGGCATGACCGCGAATGAGTCGCGCCCTCGCTATTGGCGTGAGGAGAGGGTTCGCAACTCGGTTCATCTGTTGCAAACCACTCGTAACACAGGATACCCGCTCCATCGTCCTCGGATACTGGTCTGAGGAGCACTTACGGACAGAGTACGCCCGAGGCCAAAGCAGCCCAGGTGAATGCCCGCAGCGTGGGTGTTCGAGGCGCCCGTTGGATAATAATCGGATAGTGGAACCGAGATGCAAAACGGCAGAGACAAAACGTGGAACATGAAAGATGGCCGGATTTCAACTGAAACTAGGTGAGGATAGAATCAAAACTTGCTTCAGAAAAAAGGGCTTCCATGCGCTAACGCCCACAGCAATTGCCATCCCTGGTTACATGAACAATTGTTCATGCACTCCATCGGACCCGATTGTCGAGTGCTCCTTTGTTTCTCTACGTTGGTTGTCGGCCACCCTCGTTACAGAGGGCTGCTTCTGCTCCGCTCGCCTTGACGCTTGGAGTTTTGGAGCCACGCCCATCGGAGCTCACTAGCTTGCCACTTGAACCTGCATGACATTGTTTTGTTCAGAGCATGGTCTGGCTAAATTTGAGTTGAGCTCAGAAATTTTCCGGGTCATGCTTCAACGGGAAACTCAAAGAGCTGAGCCATGAGGACAGATTGATTGGTCTCTGGCTGACGAAATTCGTAGCAGTACGAGGCGTGCCCGATCAACTGGAACGGGCTGTTCGCCAGGGCGGGAGAGAACTGAAGGCATCTAATGCTGGGTTTTCCTTTTCTGAAGATTGTGAAACCCAGTTTTTCAATTGACTAGCAAGAGTAGTAGTTTAGTCTGGCAGACATCAAGACTCGAGGTGTTGTTCTATCCTGCTGTTCAATAATGGATTCTGTTAGCCGCCACTGCCATCGGCTATGGGTGGATGTCCCCCACTCGATCATGTGTCTGGAGACTGGAGTTCATGGAGTCACAAATGAGTTTTCGCTGTTGTTTGTAGGAGAGTAATGATGTGGATGGTTGTGTGAGGCGATGCAGCAACCTCTCGCACAGGGTCTCATTTCCTTTGGACGAGCAGCTGTCGAACGGGCCGTGCTCAAGATGCCTTCACACAGACAGCATTGGCAACACCGCAGGCTCAATGTTGATTCGGCGCTGGCTGAGATTTAGGCTCGAGCAAAGCATCGTGGACCCATGGGAAGGCTGCCATCCCTTTTCCAGGTGCCCCTTCTGACCTCGACTGTGGTCGAATCACGATGGACGAACCGCTCCCAACAGACTGATGACCGCTCGTCTGCTGCAAAATCCAATTCTTTTCTATTTTTCGATCCCCTTTTTTATTTTTCCCCTTCCTCCTCAGTTTTGAGTTGACACCCTTTCCCCCTTGGCCTCTCCACTAAGCAAGGGTTGATGAAGGTGGCGCCACAAGTGCAATTGAGATCGGGCGATTTTCCATTGAGCCATCCTTGCAGATGCAGAACATCGCCCACTTCCGAAAAATTGCCGCCCGGGCGAAAGAATGACACACGGGTCTTGGTCTGGGAGCAGGCTGTTTGAGATTTCACGCCAGAATGATGCAAGACGACGTGTGAGAAATGTGCGAATCATCGACTGCTGCAGGGCGGACAGATCGGACTGGGGGAGAAGAATCGAGAATGTATGCCTGCCCTACAGGCGACGAAGCCGGGAGCAGCACGCAACAGAGAGTTCAGCCTGCATGTGTGTCCATCCCATGAGGAACCGGGTGCTGCTGCAATGACAAATTGATGGCCGTTTGGCGTGATCACCTCCAGGATGGCTGTCTCCTGGTATTTGGTAACGAACTTACCGTACGGCCTCAGATCCCCCACAGTCGCGCTATGCCCCTTTGGAACCGGCCACGCCACTCCAAAAACCTCCTCCCACCTGGCACCATTCCCGGCCGGGCCTAGGCGGGGAGCACCGACGCGGCCGCTAGAAGGAGGGCTGGCCCGCGAAACAGGTTTAGCGGTAATGCTGGCTCGGAGCCCGCGAATCACGCCGGCGGTCCCCTGCCCCACCGACACCCCCTGCGCCCAATCAGGGCCACCCGACCCCTCGCCGGCCCACTCCTGCCGCTGTTTTGACAGACTGAAATTTCCCCTCTAGCGGCTTGGCGGTATTGTTACCCACTGGGTACCCAGCAAGACAGAACACGACGCAGGCCAACACATGGACGCTTCCTTGTGATTCCATACGTCGAAGCGGCCAAAAATACCGCCCGTCACAGCCCGTTCGACCCAATTTTTCAAGTTCGGGATGATCGCTGGGCTTTTGCTGCTCTTTTGCTCTGCGTCCCCCTCTCTTCCTCCAGGCGCCAAAAAAGAAGCACCAAAAAAGAACTTAAGGGGGTGCTCTTCTCGAAACCACTGAACAAAATGTAGAAAAATTCACAAAACTAATATGCATCCACGCCCTCCTTTGCTCGCTTCCTTTTGATCTCTCCTGTGTGCGCTAGTTAACTGCATCCCTTGCCATCTGCCACCCGCGTCCAGAACCCCCGTCCTTCCCTGTCGTCTCGGCCAGAGTCCAATTGCTATTCTTATTCCCTCCTCCTCCCATAAAGACCCTCCTTCGAGGACCCTCCTGGACATCACACCACTTTCTCAAACACTCGTTCACATCTTTTTTTTTTTTTTTTTCCTCAGCAGTCACGAGCTCGTCAGATATCTCCCCACTCCCAGTCATCACGGCTTCGTGACCTGCTCGGCCCGGCCCATTGCGTCAACTTCTACCACTTTCGTCTCATCCTCGACGGCGTCCACTTGCTATATACTCCTTTCTTTCCACCGGGTGGCTGGGTGTGCTCTTTCGACTGTGAACCAAACAAAAAACCAAAATTTCCTCAAATTTCTCCAACAATGTCTACCGACTGGTCCCTCGACTTTTGCATTGTCTGTGATAGACAGACTCTGGGTGGAGCATACTGTTCCCAGGCCTGCCGGCTGGCGGAGATCGATCAGTACTCCTCGTTGGAGTCGGAGCCTTCCTCTCCTACTTCCACAACCGGCCCCAATCGACCATGGGCAGACGATGTGCACAACCACCGATCCTGCACGCCTTTTAGTTTTGCGGCAACAAAGGCGCCATCGGTGCAGACCACCTTCTCTTCCATCTCCAGCATCTTCTCAAAGCCCTCGTCGCGGGTCAGCCTGACGCCGTCCGCCTCGCAGACATCGCTGTCGTCACTAAGCAGCTCGTCCAGCATCGTCACGGTGTCCGGTCGAGCCAAAACCGAACTGGATGAATACGCTGGCTGCTTTGACCAAGTTCGGGATTGGAAACGACGCCTCACCCTTTCTTGACGGCTTCTCTAAACGTCGACAATACATCAACGAGGCACCAGCTGCAGGCCTGGTTGCCGACCCTATCGACAAGCCTACGATACGTCCCTTCGCTTAGAGTTTACCCTTCGATCACTGTGTTCTACGACATTACGGTTCTTCCCTTTTTCTTGCTTATACCGTCTGTTCGATATCTCATTTCTACACTCTGGGGGGGACAATGGAGTTTCTTTTTATCTGTCCAAGCATTTATTCAAAAAAATTCTGAAAATGGTTTCTTGTGTTTAAGCATGGTCCTAGGCAGCATTTGAGTCGGCGTTTACAAACACTGGGTTGCGGGTGGGCCTTCATTCTTTCAACTCCATTTTTTTTTTTGGTTGGCATTCCTTAAACCAAAAATTATTTTCTTATTTTCTTGTTTGTCTCCAAAAAACGAAGGGTTGCCTTTTGGAAAACAGAGATTACATAGTTGTCAACCCCTTGTGACGGCCCAGGTGAATAGCTCTTGAGTACAAAGGAGAAAAAAAAGAAGAAGAAGCAAGTTGGCTGTTTTATTTTGCAGAAGAAATTTTCTTTCATATCTTGGAAGGGGGTTTCGGTTTCAACGGCAGGATTTTCAATTCCAACGGTGGGACGAATTCATGGGAGCATTTTTTTTCCTTGAGCTAGGAATACCGGATCTGCTTTGAGTCCTGGGAGCTGTTCAAGGTTGCTGGCGAAAAAACAACCCATTTGAGTGGCTGTGGGACGGGCTTGTGCTCCCTTGCTTTTTTGCGCTTTGAATTGAATGTATGATACTCATGAAACTTGACAATTTATTCCAAACCGCCAATTAATCAAATGGAAATAGCAATCACCTTTCCTTTTGGCTGAGAATCAATATCCGATGATCCACGCACCAGTAGTAAACGTACTACGTGGCTGACCCTTGATTAAGGGTATGGATGGATGCCATCGAACCTCGTTGGGCGCGGAATCGCGAACGGGGAATGATGATGATTACATTGGGAGAGAAGGAAAAAAATATTATTAACTGATATCATTCGATGAAAACTTTTTCTATATTTTCTTTTTGAACTGAAACTCGGAAAACTGTGCACAGGTTTTTGATGTGAAACCGTCCGAGCCCGTGGGAGGGACAAATCGACCAAGAAAGGCAAAAGGTCGTTTTTTTTACAGGAAGTTCTTTTTTGATCTCTAGAGATGTTCAAACAACAAGTTCGTTGAGATGTCCTAGGACTTGAACCCCAGAGGAAGATTCGATTAAATCTACATATTCCATAGCCTCGTGCTGCGAGCAAGACAAAAGTCAACACGCGGAGCAACGACGTCATTCGATGATGTTTACTCAGTTAGCTCTGGCACGCTTGAGTCTCAGGACAAGGCCGATCCGTCGGACAAAATGCTACGCTGCACTGTTTTCCTGTTCTGGCCTTGGAGATTGAGCCAGAGCCTTGCTGCAAGGATCCTCGATTTCTTTTTCTTTTTATTTTCCAATGAGCAAAGCGCTCTGTGTTACCTGAGGGGGTTTTCCCCGGCGGACCGAGAATGAAACGAACAAACCTCACGGCCAGAAGGGAACTCTTACGGAGTAGACCGTGTCAAAAAGAGAACCAGATTCCGCCCGCAATCTATTTTTTCCTTCCCTTTTTTTTTTTTACAAGTCGTATGGAAAAGAGATTTTTTTTCTCATTCTAGATTTGCAGGGGGGGGCAGAGGAAAGCCTTTTCCAAGGTGCATAGGGCTGGATGTTAGGCTTCAGCCTTCCATCATTTGATTGCGCCCGGTACACTGCCAAGTTCCCTCTCGCCAAAGAAAGAGGCAAACTCCGGTGCTGGGAAGAATGGCCCAGCTCTTCGTTTTCAAGAGCTAGCGAGCCAGGGAGGGCGGTTGGATGTCAACAGTCCTGAATTTTTTTCCTCAATCTCGCAAGGAGGGGTGTACAGCCGAGTGGCAAAGATCTTGTTTACGAGCGTCGAGTTTGAGAATTTTTTTTCTTTTTGTTTTTTCTCCCTTGTTACTTTGACTTCTGTTGCTTTCTTCCCTTTTCTTTTTTTTGCCTTTTCGGTGTGGCTTTGCAACAGCTGAGAATGTCGGAAGCTCAGTTGCCATGGTGTCATTGCTTCTGATCCTTCAAACCCATGCTGGTGTGTTCCTGGCTGGGAGAAAAGGATCGTATTCTTAGATGATCCCCCACCCCCTAGTTCGCACTGAGGGCCCTGCTGTCATCGTCAACAATCAGGCGTGAAGCAAATCGTGCCGCGCCCACTTGACTTTCCGCGGGGCTCCAAGCTCAGGCCTTGAAGAGTTCCATGTCATGAACCTTGATCTCATGATGGTTTGGAATTCGAACATTGCCGGTCCTGCACAGACCCCGACGACGAGCGCGTTGATCTCCCGCTTTTTTGAGAAATCTGATGAATGATGACGTTTTGGGATCAGCAATTTGTCTGCCTGCCTGATCGTCGAAACCCAAGCACAATGACGAATCCTCTTCAAGGCCGGATTATATGTCCGTGCCATCTGGCTGACGTGCATTCTGTAGGTTGCCGAGACCAACCAGGCAGACGAGCGACTTGGATACAATACTCTGTCAGGAACAGTTCCTTCACATACAACGCTCCTTGTTAGCTATAGCAACGAGGTTCATACTAATACATGATAGACGTCGCGAAACTTAAACCTGGAAAGACAAAATGTGCAGTTTTCACAGCTAGTACAGAATGTTTGCAACTCGAACAACTAAGGGGAGAATGGGCAAGAATACGATATTCTGTCATGCCAATAAGGCGCATAGCTTAAATCCTCACTGAGCAGTACAGCAGATTTCCAATTCTGAAAGAGGAACCATCATCGTTCCTAGACGTTGGCGGGAGGAATATTCTTCTGTGGCGCTATCATTCAAAGGCCCTTTGGCGGTTCAACAAGTGGATATCGATACCTACTAATTGTTGACCATGTAACTTGTAATCGACAAAAGGGAAACCCTATCCGTGGATATGATCCTCCGTTCATCCCAACTTGAACACCCGTCTTGTCACAATTAGATTACCGGATTCTGAGCATCGGTGCTCGGTCTGGCGGCATTTGTTTTTTGCTTTTGTCGTCGCTCGGCCCATTCACGGCTGGCTTGTCTTCCGCGTTGTGCTGCTTCTGCCCTGGCGCGCTTTGCGGCCTCTTCCTTGCTTCGACGCTCTTGCTCTCGTTCCTCGATCAACTGGCGATCTCGCGCAAATAACTCCTTGCCCCGCAATCTCTGCGATGTGCTCTCCTCCTTGGTAGCCGGTACCTTTGCATAGATCGTCGAGTTCCTCGCCTGCCGCCCATTTGCTTTGTTGGTGGCATCTCTTAACTTGGGAGAGTCAGACAGTGGGTTACTACTGACCGAGGAATGGCGTGTCCTTGCAGAAACTACTGGCGTCCGACGGGCAAAACGATCATCCCATCCAGCCTGCCGGAGAGTTGGGCTGTCGTCGGAATTTGTCCAGGACGAGTTGGTCCTGGTATTTCCTGATCGAGAGGTTCCCTGGTCGTCAGGCTTTTGAGAGTTTTCAAGGGCACTAATATTCGCCCTGGATCGACTGGTAAAAGTTTCCTTAACTTCGGTAGATGGAGTAATACTATATCGAATTTTAGAAGCCCCTAAAAGTTCGCCGGCGCTGCAATTCTTCTTCCTCCTTCCTAAGCCGCTCTTCTCGCTGGGCTTTCATGCGCCGTGAAATGGCCTCTCCAGGTAGCTCGAATGTCGGTCTTGTCAGCGGTTTCGTTGATTTAGCAGGGGTAAACCCTGGTTTCGAGGTGCTGAGAGTAGCGATGCTAAGCCTGTTGGATTTGATTTTCTCGCTTTGGGGCGTTTTGGGCGCTGGAGCTGCCGGTTTGCCAGATTTAGTTGTGTCAACGGTCCCATTAGTCTTCTGGCTTGCTGCATTTGGTCCTGGTCGATTACCAGAGGTTTGACGATGTTGAGAATTCGATGGCGCTCGTGCTTTGGGGGTAGTTTGGGGCTTCGAATTGTGATTTTCACCTGCTGGCGAGACATCCAGTGTCGATAAGCGTTTTGATGCCGTAACATTCGGCTCTGGCTTGACTAGGCAAGTCGGAGACATCTGAGGGCTTCTATGGTTCCGAGATTCAATATCTTCGACAGGCGTGCCTTGCCGTATCGGAGAGTCGAGGTTATGGTTTTGAGAAAGCGTTACTGCTTCTCCGATCTCCTCAAGCGCTTCTTCCAAGGCGTCCATTGCTTCAAGAGGATCTTTGATTTGAGCTAAGTCTCTAATGGCCACATGTGTTCCCGATGCAGAAACCCCGTCCCAATTTATGGCCTTCCAAGTGTCATTTGCGCAAGGTTTGTGGGGCGATCGTATAACCGATTCAACGATCAAGTCTTCGCCGTCTTTCGGTCCCTTGTGCCCGTCCGGGTCGAATCTGGGGGCTTCGGGGACTCCCAAGCCAACCAAGGTTTCTGTTTGCATTGGCTTGGATTTCAAATTGTCCAATACAAGTTCTTCTTCACGTCGTTAGCCTCCAGGGTATGTCAAAAGATGGTTGAGCGGGTGGTTGTTTGGGAGAAGCAGCTGGGTTGAAACGCTGCGGGAGTATCAACATACCAAGACTAGTCAATGGAAAGTGCCAACAAGACAGTTGCACTTTCTGTAGTAGAGAGATCCGGTTTGCTGTCGATTGATATTCTTTTGGGTATCGAAACGTGGGATTATCTTCTCTTCAGCGCTGTTGTCGCGAGTTGAATGTGAGTTACAGCTGTGGCTCTAGATGAGGGCTGATAATGTCCAACAACACGCAAAAGTTCGGCGCGAGTCCCCTCACTGTTTGGTAGGTATATTTGTTTGTTTATGCAAAGTTCGTGTAGGTATTATATGATCACGCGCATTCCCGAATCAAGGTGACGCGTTTGTCAACAGGCAATCCCAAGTCGGGGTATCACCATATCAGTGCTTCATAAAAAGTGACCGAACCAGCATTGCATCACCTGGAGTTCGTCATCGAAGATGAGGATGGGTGAAACGACACGAGGCCACAAAATACGTTCGCAATCAGCGCTTTTGTGCCCGCAGGGTGCTGTCACGTAGTTATAGATGCGGCGCTCCTGCAAGTCTGATGAATCGCGACCCTTGAGAGACGACCTTGACGGTGGATGTAACGGGACATGGGTCCAGATATGGAGGATCTGGGGATGAAGAGCAATTGGTCTTGCATTTTGAAGTCTTGGTTCGTGGTCTCAACCGCGCAATCCATGTGTTCGGTGTTTTACTCATTGCGATTTAATTTCAGGAGGGCCCACAGGGGGCGCGGCCTCACCAGGCTTTACTCCTTTGTTACTAGTGTGTTGCTGCTGAGGAGCATCCCAGAAAATAGCAATATGGCGACATCTGCATTGTATGGAGCACCCTAAATGAAGCTAGGCATTCCAGAATATTCGTGTAGATAGAAACAAGGCCGGCGAGCAGCGCGGCTCGTTCTATGAATGTCAATGGTTGATATGGATGAGAACCCCCCAGAGGGCCTGGACAAGGCCATTTGTAACCATTATTCGCCTAGTTATTAGGCCAAATTGCCGTTCCCAGACTCCAACGCCATCTGCCCCCTTCCGACGACCAAAGCCTTACCTGGCGCAAGAATTGCACCCCCCGTGCCCTGCCAGTGCGATCTGGTTGTGCTCGGGCTGTTACACTATGCAAATCTCTAGGCCTTAGGATTCATTCCCTGGCGGATCTGCTGGAATACGCACGAGCGGAGCAGGCAGAGCAGGCTCCCTCGGCTTCTCAGCTTCCCTCTGTTGACCTGTCGGCTCAAATTTGATTTGGGCCATTCTCGCTGTGAAAAGACAGAAGTAATCATCTTAGATTAACGCAGGCTATATGAGGTCGCATATTTCGAGCCTTGGTACTTACTCGAGGCCATATTGATTGCTCTCAGCACATTCTCCCAATTTGCCATAACACATGCCACGGCTGTAAGCAGGCCATATCAACGGTTAACAATATCCTAGAGGATCCAGCCATTGAGGATATGAAGAAAAACAGCACAGTCGTCAAGTGACAAACCTTCCGTGCCGTCTCGTAGTGTTTCGAGCTTCTGGTTTAACACCTCCATTTGAGTTGCCAATGCATCGCTTACATCGCGTAATTGCCTGAGGTCTTCAAGCTCGGCCTTTTTGGCAGCGACTCGCGCAGCAAGAATCGACGAACTCTGTGACGAAGAACTGGATAACCCGCTTGGCTGTCTGAGTGATGACGAGGTGAATAACCCCGTTGGGCGCGGGCCATGGGCCATGGTATGCAAATATAACACAATCAAAACGAAAAGGATGAAAAGGTCATCTGCAACGCGCCCGCACGTACGATTCAAATATCGAGGACCAGAATATCAGTAAATGCGATAGAAGGCAGGTTTTGCCGACTGATGGATTATGGCGGCAGTTTCTAGCGAGCCACCAAGTCTAACCAGAAGCAGTTAAACGTCAACAAACTTCCCTTCTTGCTGCATCCAGGGAAGTGAGCTTCAATCAACCTCGAACTCCGAGCCTCCAAGCATTCAGCCAGATAACCGCTCAGTTTATGGCATAACAACGAATTAGCCTGTGATCCCGTTTACTGGCTTTCCTTATTGATCCATCGTCTTCAGCCTAGCTAGCCACGAGAGCCAACCTCGTTCGCCCATGCCCTAGAATACCCCAGCTACCATGGCTCGCCTAAACGACCTTCCCCCCGCTACGGAGTCCCTTGAGTCGTGTGAGTGCAGCAGCAGCTGGTCAAAAAAACACTGTGCTAACCAAAGCTCAGTGAAGCGGCGATTTGTTCGACAGAACCGGGAAATCGCCCGTGCAAATTCCATTCAATCAGCCCGGATAAGAACACTCGAATCGGAAGTATCTCGCCTTCTTACCCAGAACGTTGCCCTCCGCGAAGAGATTAGCTGGCTGAATAGGGAGCTGGAGAAACGTCAGGGTAGTGACCGACTTGACACCCAGTTGTGCTCCGTTAAAGAGAAACTTGAAACGAAATTGGCAGAACTATCAGCTTTGGTGACAGACCTTGGCTCACTTCCCCAAAAGGGAGGACACAGTGCTGCGTTGAAGCGAACATCGGATTCTTCTAATCCTCTGCAATCTCCCACCGTCCCACGTCGACCTGCAGTCAAACCTGAACTGGATTCTTCGATTTCAGATCCCGACAGATTGCCCGTGATCTTGGAGGATAAATATTATCCAAGATTTACCCCAGAGTAAGTAACACTCTCGAGAAAAATAGCATGCAAATATCTGTTGTCTAACTCAGGTGCAGGGTGGAAGTTCCGGAGTCGCCAATATACGATAAATCTGATGGGGATATATCCGCCGGCATAGGGCCACCACCAATCCTTTCCTTCGCTGCTGATTCCATCAACCCCTTTGCAACAGAAGAATCTCCTAGGAATGCCCAAAGCTACGGTAGCAGCCCACTGTCCCAAAATAAATCGCCCACCTTTGAACCAAGGAGGAGACGGCGGGACAGTTCGTTCTTACAGGATATAATTCCTGATGCGGAACCCTTTACAGAGTCGGATAACCGTGGCTGCCATCCTCAGCGAGCTGGATCAAAACGCAAGTTTGCCGTACGAGAAGAAGAAGATTTCAACCCCGCCTACTCAAGTGACCTAGACGGGTTCCAATTCACCCGATTAAACATATTACCTGAGGGCCTGTCCCAAGAGACAGCTACAGGCATTGAAAACCAACCGATGCAATCGGCCGGAAAGCAGGAACCGCAACTCACGACAGGCAAGAAACCTGGGCGTCGTGCCTTGGGTCCGAGTAAGTGATTTTTCCTCCCCATTCGTTCTCCTTGACGAACGTAATCTAAAACATGTCTTACAGAAAACACAAATACGAACCTCAGATCACCAGCTAAAAAGGCATCCGAAATGGCCAAGTCAACTACTGAAGAGAGGCGCTCTCTTGCACGAACCAAAGTTAAGCCGCGAAACAGATCCGCATCAGAAGAACGCAGTGGTTACAACAATGAGGGGGGCATCATCAAGTCCGATTTGAGTCAAGTAGCATCCGACTCTGGTTCAGCACATATTACTCTCGAAGCCAAGGAGATAAGCACAAACCCAGACTCTATTATAGATCGTGCCTCAAATTCGGAAGATATAGTTCTCCCAGATCCAGACCCTTCAGACCATAACGCGTCAACAACTACAAGAACCCGCCAATCTAGACGTTCAAGAGGCCCGGTCAGCTATGCAGAGCCGAATCTACGAGACAAAATGCGTCGGCCCACAGAGGTATTCGTTGACGCTGTGGGGGAAGATAGGTTTCGGCGCATGTCTAAATCACAACCAGAACAATTCGAAAAAGAGCACACAGTCTATGATCAATCTGATCATTGTGAATCGATAGGTTCATCACATGAAATAAACGAACAGAGAACAAAAGTGCTTTCTGCCTCCACACCCGGCACGACTGGCCACAATTTGGGGCAATCAACGTCCAGTATCGCTATTTCGGCCCTTGTTGCGGGAGGCAAAAAACGTTGCCAGAGCAGGAGACAAAGTGAATCTCGGAGATATTCTTCGAATCCGTTACTTAGTGCCAACCGTTTCGCCGGGGAAGGGTTGGATGGGTCAACGTTAATATCGAATGCGAGTGGTACAGCGTCTCCCGTGGATATTTCATTTGATGGGAGCACAGAGGACATTGCGCATAGCCAAAATACGTCTTTTCACACTGAAATTACCGAGTCAGCCAATATGCACGGAGCCCCAGCGCAGCGTGGCCCTGCCACAAGAAGGCGAAGCATGATGGTCTAACGACTGTTATTTATATATACTAATATCCTTTCAATTGAGCCTAGTGATTTCATGGTTCCGAGATCTTCTCAGAGTCTTTGTATGTTAACAAGCTTCGAACATTCTAAATGCAACCCAAAATTTCTCACATGGGGCGAATGAGCTATAAAGGCACATAACTAACACGCTCAATATGTTAAGGGTATATCAATTCGTCAAATTCTGTGCTTTAAATAAGCGTTTTATGTTTCCCAGCATCAAGTGGCCGTGATCTTCGTTAGCGTCGCGAGTCTTCATCCTTAAGAAGCCGCTGTTTCATAATTTCTTCTTATTTCTTCCTATCGCGCAGGAGTTATCAAGACTCTTTTTTGACGTCTTCTCCTCCTTTGGAATAGTTCGGAACGCGTTCATACGCGTTTACCTTGGGTTTCCTTCTGGGTCGTTTGGTCTGCTGCGAGACGTCACGGTGGTCATGACCATGCGAACTGCGCCGTGGACCACGGCCGTTGGCCATCCTTGCCTCTCCAGTATCCACCTCGCTGTCACCATCACTCTCGGAAGAATCCGAATCCGACGAGTCCGACTCGGAGCTGCTTTCACCGACTGCCCGGGGTTTGTGGTATATACAGCAAACTAATTATTTGAATTTAGAGTCCCGCTGTCAAGAGCCATAGGGAGGTTTCGCGGGGGGCGGGGGTTTCAAGCACCTTTTGAGCTCTTTTTCCCTTGCCCTTCGTTGTCTACGACATCTTCGGCCCATCGGATACGGCGCGGCTCGGGGGGGTTTTCTTGAGTTGTCGTTGCGTCGCCGCGTAGTCTTAAGGTTCCGGTAAGTGGTATGCCTTGTCTTGTCTGCTGGGTATAAGAAGATTCGACTTGGGTAGTGGTTAGGCTGGATACGGGCGGGTTTGGCTGTCTCGTTCGTGTCATGATGGCGATTTCTACCTGGAACGGTGGATTCGCAATTGGGTGCGAGGGTTTATTGATTATTTCGGAAGCGCGTAATTGTACTGAGTAGTGAAAATGGAAATAAAAGTCTCTTAACGGTGATTGTGCTATTGAGAAAGCTCGTTTCAAAGATGTGCCAGTGAGTTAATCGCCCGATGGTCTTGGCGGCGATCAACAAGCTTGGTTGTCCATCAGATAAGATAAGGCGATCTCGCCCTAAAGGGCCAGGCGGCTGCAGGGACCAAGTATTTCACCTTTTTTTATTCCTTCCACCGGCATGATGGCGGCAAACTGCACTTTTCCTTCAAGTCACCCGTTACCTATTGTTGCTGCGGGTGCTTCGCAGTATATCGAGTGACTTTCCGTCCCGTTTTAGGCGCCTGACCCATAGTCTATAGACAACTAAATCCAAGTAATTTTACAACCATTCAGAGCCGGGTTATTTCAATTAATTTCCTCTTCATGATCCTGAAATGGCCATCGCTCTTGAACGCATCGCTCCTCCTCCGGCGTATCAGACCCATCCAACAAAACCCGCTTCAACTCCATATTTTTTTTCACCACGTCATCGTAAGCTTCAGTCCTAACCCAACCATCATCACTCAATCCCTGGAGCTCTGACTTCCAGTACTCAACAAGGCCGTTCATTTGAAACCAAGTTGGCTCCCGCTCATAGTGCATATCAATCTCAGCTTTAGTGAAAGCTATGGGGCACTGGACTGGTTCTGGCAGGCTTGCACTAAAATAGTCCCAATTCTCAGCTATTCGGATAAGGGCGCCCTTTAGGCTAAAGATGTCTCCGCTCCATTGTTTCTCAGCCCTCTCGACAAGATGTTGTGTTAAGAGGACACGCGGGTCTCTCATTCCTGACAGGTGTCTTTCATTCAAACCACCAGTAAACACCATGTAAATATAAAATAACACTCTGCGTCTGTGTAGCTCATCCACCTGAGACTTTTCCTCGGCGCTGAGTGAGTCATAGTCATCTGGCAGGACCGGTTTCTCCAGTGTTTGTGGTGGAGGGTGATCAGGGCTTTGGAGCATTGGGGGATGCCCTGTAACGAGTAGAAGTGGGAGTAAGGTCGTATGTTGCCAATCGATAATGCAAGAAATCTTATGCGTTTCCGGGCAAATGAATATGTTCCCAGGAGTAAGGTCTAATCACAATCAATCACTAGTTTTGTTGGTGTGGATGGGATTTAATTACCTGGATGGCGCAAAGTAGGACGGTTTAGCTCACTGTGTGGATCGCCGCCCAGTAGGTATGGGGTGACAGCCATGAATTGATCCAGGAGCTGGATGTGGTCGTGTGGGGAGTTGATGCCTTCAAAGTTGACAACATGGGGAAACCGGACAGGGCGAGGTTTACCATGTCTTTTTGTCCACTCACGTTCCCGCTTTCCAATTGCGGCCAAGTACGCCTTTGGTGTTTTCCCTAAAGGATACCTTGTTAGCTCACCTTCACTCAGCAGAGAACCGGGTGGGAAATCATTACAGGGCCCGCGATCTATTCCCATTTCTGCACGTTTGCCGTACCAGAACATATAATCAGTCGTAGGGCCAATGCAAAACTGCTCATATGCAGTTGACATGGCTGGATCAGTGCTCTCTGCGAAGAGGTCTTGTTGAAGGTTTGACGGGATGTCATTCCTATAATATACGCTGCCAAAATGGCCGAATGGAATGTCAAAGATCTTTTTCTCAGTGTCAACCAAACTCGTCACAAGATAGTGCCGTTCTTGCTTTGATAGGTTAAACCATCTCGTTTCTAATGGGATTCCAGAGGACTTTTCCATGATAATATACTCAGCCCCAACAGAATTGTTCGAATCAGCAGACCAGCCAAGTATGCGTGGGACAGGAATTCCCTTTGACTGTAGGAAGTCTGTTGTGGCCACTTCACTGGCAGTAGCATAGTACTTTGGAACAGTTATCCTGTAGGGAATTTTGACAATGGCCTGAAACCCATCTTCTGTTGTAAGGAGGAATACCCGATTAAACCCTCCTTCAGCAAGCTTTTGCAGATTGATGATTTTACCTCGTCTGACATGTTGTTCAGCAGCATGCTTCAAAGCAGCAACATTAAAATCAATCTGTCGTTCCTCAAGGCGACGCTGTTCGTTGTAAAGGAACCGACCAGACGTGTACGTGAAGAGTTCATCATTCATTCTCGTCCCTTCACCAGATCAGCAATGTAGCCGCAAGTCATGAGTACAAGAAACAAACCCATTGCACGGCGGTTCCATAAAACGGCCGAGCATATGGAAGGTCTCGAGAGGTTACGTGTGATGCCAAAGACAGATGAAACGCTGACCGGGGAGAAACTCAAAAGACCCCTCTGCGCTGGTATCATTTCTGTTGCGGTCGAGTGTGAAGTTGCGAAGACGTTGCATCCTCAGAACAATTGGAGAATCACGAAGCATTCTTCTGTCTTTCAAACGCCAAGCCAAAATGTTTTGATAGTCAGTCATGATTGGCTGGAAGTGGCAGAGCAACGCCGATTTTTGGGATGAGCCTCTCTACCAACCATTTGATATGAGGTCCTCCTCGGGAGGGTTGTTGATGCTACTCCGTAGAGCCTGCAGAATTCAAAGATATTATTTGGCCGGGCTATTTCGGCTCGTCCTCGCCATTTGCAAGCTTCTGACCATAGTGGGAGCATTGCACCTTAAGCTCGCCCTTCGGTAATGATTGCAGTGTCTCCCGCCATGGCACCAGGCAGGGTGCTATGAAGATGGATGTATGGAGTATAGAGGCGGTTGTTTGACATGAAGAGAGGTTGGATTAGTCATGTGAACTCGACCTCGTATGCCTAATTAGGGTTAGTGTGGACCTCAGGGGAACAAGGCCCTCGAATTGAATATCAATTTGATTTCCTGCATCTCATTAAACACAAGAACCCTGATATATCCAAAGAGAAATAAAAAAATAAAATAAACGTCGTCCTCATTTGAAAACCACCGCATTGTCAGGTTTCCCCCTTAAGACGTAACCCGGCCCCAAGCCGTCAGTGACAAACACTCAATACACTTTGTAGCTGCGAATGGTTCTGGCGGTCATTTTATGGTTGCCTTTGTCATTGCGGTAGCTCAATTTCTTGCAGTTTTTGTTGACGTAGAGCTCGAAGGTTCCTGGGTCTGGCCAGTTATTGGTTGCCGGACGGAAATTGGCGCGGTTGACTTTGAGCGCCGGGCTGAAGTCGATATTCTTGCAGCCAGAGTCTCTGGTGCCGTGGGTGCTGACATGGCGCTTGTCGCTAGCATACAGATCTAACTTCCATGCCGAGGAGAGGGCAAGGCAGGAGAGGAAAGTAACGGCGGAAAGCTTCATCGTTTTCTATATCTGCTCTGAGGAGGTCAAAAGCTGCAATGGTATGGTATGCAAGGCTGAGTCAACATACCCAATGAACAGGCCTATACGCAGAGGTTTCAGTGAATCAAGAGCTCGAGAGACTGTCAAGACGTGAAATCGAAGTGAGCGTTGAGTTTTCATCGATTCGCAGCGTGGGAAGCTCCAATTTATAGACGTTCGACTCGACTCATATCGAAACAGAAACTTTTTCCACCTTCCACAATACGAGAATGACACTCGGGTTTGTGAAAACGAAGCCTAGAGGATGTAACCCGATCCACTGCATATATTGTCGTGTTTCGACACATGCTCCGTCACGACAACAGAAAGTTGAGGCGAGCTCCTAGAAAAAGGTTCTTCTAGGCCATTGAACTCCAATAATAGGTATTTGGCTTTCAGCCGGGCTCGATTTGGTTGAGGGAATGTCTTGACACCGTAAGCAGCAGAATGGGCAAGCTCATATCCACTATATCCGCAGTAAGCATGTAAATTAGAATAATGTTAGAATCAAGAGGTGCATGAGGAGCTGGATTTTCCGAGGATGGCCGGGATGTCTCGCAGATATCCCATCATCTAGACCACGCAGGGGGGCAATGGCTAGGCATTCCATCCCTCGCAGTCGCTCCATTTTAGTGCAAATCCGGGGGATTCGAAGGATCTGGAGGCGAAAATCTTAGAGAACGCGCATTCTTGCGGCTCTTGGAGAGCGACATAAAACGGAAATTCAGACGAGAGCTGGATACTTAGGGCCAATGAATACGAATTGGGCATAAGGGATCTGAATCCAAATAAAGAAATGCAGCTGCACCTTTTCCCTCGGCTATTTGTGTTTGCGTATCGTGGCACTCATGGTGACGAAACTTAAGAGACAATCGACCTGTCGACTCATTACTGATCAACTTCATCGTTAAGTGACGAGCGAAACCACCTCAGGCGTCTCAGGTCGTTCCCTGAACAGAGCCTCAAGAGGCTAATTCAAGCAATCTCGTCATTTTAATTTCTCTTTCCCTTTGCGTACTGGAGCATGTGGCTCCCTTCATGCTGGGTATATGCTAGAATAGACGGAGTATTCTTCGTATATTAAATTAGCCGCAGAGGCTAGGGAGCAGTTGGGATGTTGAGGGGAATCCGCTGATGAATCTTCAAGGAGGATTGGCTGGTCAGGGCAGCTGCATGCCTATATATAGGTCTTGTGGTATCAAGTTGAGTTTGGTCATGTCCTCAAAGCAACCCAGTGAGGTGATGAGATGACAAGCCATCCTTGTCGGCAGGGGATTGAGCAGTCAATTGCCCAAACGCCATCACGATCAGTTGCGTCGTTGAAAATCGAGCGTCTTGGCGACCTCTTCGTTCCCCATCACGTTGAGGAAGCCCGCAGTAATTAAATGAGAAAGTCCAATGTCAGTAGTTTTTTGGATTTATAGATGTCTTGGTGCGAATTCGACAAGCTCCTTGTTGCCTTGCGACTGAATAATTACAGGAAAAGCGCAAAAACCGACAGGCACTAGCTCGGTTAGACTTCAAGAACTCGCTCAAAGGTCCGCAAAATAATTGAATTGATTCTAAAGCATGAATATCTAGTTACAGATTTCAGGTTCAGAACTACGGTGTTTGCCGTGCCGGCAATTCGTAGTGGTCGCCAAAGTATACGTCCAACCGCAGAGTGGATAATATTGATACACTGCAAATTTAACATAAGTTTCCCATTTTTTCCTGATCTGGTAAATAGTTGTTATCACATCCCCAATAACATTACATCTCTCGAGCTGATCGACCGTCGCAAGTATATGAAGGGCGTTTGCGACTCGAAATGGGCCTCAAGACGGGTTGATCAAGTGCGCGTAACCAGTTTTATACGTCGTACAAGTCCCAGCCATCAAAGAAACCGCTTTTGGAATCTAGCTTGGACGACGGATAAGCACGACGATCCGCGCGCCTTGGAATTTCACTTCGCAATTCCTCCTCCAGTCAGAGCTCATCCTCCTGATCCATCTCTGCCGGTTTTAAAAGACCACCAACTTTCATTGCACGATCTCTTTCAGCCGCCTTGGCTTCTCTCAGGGCCTGCTCCCGTTCTTCAGCGTACAACTCTGCGTTATCCCCGGCGAACTCCTTCAGTGAAATCAAGAAATCCCTTAGGTGGGTTTTGAACTTGGTAAGATCATCGTTCAGCGTGAATAAACCCAGGACGAATTGCTTCACTTGCACCCTAAAAATGAAGGTCAGCAACCCGTTGACTAAAAGCAATAAAAATATCTTACTCTTGTAAATTTTTAAAGGCACTTTGCAGCAAATTGGCCACATATTCCTGGAGAAAATCTTTGTTTGATGTTCCTGGAGGCGCTTGTTCAGGAGCATAGATCGGCTGTTGTATCTTATCGGAAGCGACAAAGTAAAACATTCGCGAAAGAAGCATCGCTTGATGTTTAAACCCTAAAAGAAAACCGCTGTAAGCAAAATCTCATAGACAAAGTTCATCTGCAACATACCAGCTTTGTGATCCGTATCAGTAAGAACGAAGAAAACATCCTGTAAAATAGGGATGTAGAATTGCCGGAAGAAAATGCTAGCCGTCTGCGGATCGGTCTCGGCCATATTGTTCACAAGTTCAAGGCACATGGTAAGGCCAGTGTTTTCCACTTCTCGATTGTCATGCTTGCTAGCCCACATGCAAGAATCGATCACGAACTTGAACTGGCTGGCGTCCAATTTGAGGAGTGCTGGGAAACAGTAGAGATTGATGGCTTGGAGGAGCTTGAAAAAGCTGACCCGATGCTCTGGATACTCATGGAAATCCTTGTTGATCATCTCTAAGGTGCATTCAAAGACGCTCTCCATAATAATGGGAACCTTATCTTCCATGAGGTTCTGTAACGCGGTTAGCGACAACTGTCGAACTTGCACTCGGATGGGTTGAGAGACACATACATGTAGTTTGTGAATAATTGTAGTCATCACATTTAAGACCTCCGCTTCTCGAGCGTCTGGAACATTCCGGTTATAGTCCAGAAGAACGGCTTCTAAAAGAGGAGGCACCATGCTGCTGTTAACCATGTCCAAATTGTCCGCTCTTTCGACATAGGTATCAATGAGCTTCAAAATTTCCTTCTTAATAGTCCTTAGTCCACGGACTTTCGGCGTTTTTGTCGCAATGTTTCCTACGAATGTTAGCAAGATATCATATGGAATGGGAGGCTCACTGACCGTCTCTCGCAACTGCTTCGTTGATCAATTGACTGGAAGCCCGGTACATGTTCAACATATCATGATAGATACGTCCAATTTGAGAATAGAAAAAGCTTCCGATTGAAGAACATGCGGCTACATTGGTTTTCATGATGTTGCCCACAATTTTGATGGTCTCTTCATCTTGTAAAATGGAAGGGTCCTGGTTGGCTTGATTGATAATCGCATCCCAAGCAGCATTAGGTAACGACATCAGATTCTCAATCAACCGATCTTGTATGGACTTTTGGCCTTGGGCGGAGATCATATAACCGCAGGCTTCATAAAACGTGTGAACCTGTTGAGGCGACAAGTCGCAAGTAATTTTCCTCATTGATCTAAGGATTTCGTCGATGAAAGGTTCAGCTTCGCTAGCTTGATGAACGGCAAAATGCCGTTTGCATTTATTGGCAATTTTGATAAAAGTATCACAAGCCATATCTTGGACTCCTTTTTTTCAAAAAAACACAAAGCTCGTTAGTAAAGTACCAATGGGAGTGGCGGTGATATGCTTACCTTCGTGAGTCTCATGCATGAATTCGAAAAGCTTGTTAACCACGGTTTTCAGAAATTTCCAGTGAGCTTTCAAGAACCTGGGATATTGCCCGACAATATACATGATGTTACTGGCCACAACTGCCTTGTTGTCTTTTCCGCGTTTCATTTCAGTCAAGCCGAGAAGATCTTTGATGACAGTGACGAGAAATCTTTTTTCCGTTTCTTCGTTCATCGCTCCTGATATCGACCCGATTGCCCAGCATAATGTGTTGCAATTCGCCCAAGACCATTCACTCCCGTCAACTTGCTTGGCCAGTTTGTCTGCCATAATGTTTTCCGTATCGACGACATCAAGATGCGTGAGATATACCAAGCATTCTCTGGTCGTTTTATAAAGCTGGATCGTGTCACTTTCCTTCACAAATTCACGAACGATTTCTCCCTCGTCATTTTCGACAATCAACACTTCTTCAGGTCGCACCATCTTTTCGATCATTACGGTCCTAAGGCTGGATAGTACCTCCGCATACTTATGCTTGCGAAGGGGATAATTGGCGAGAGTGCTGGGATTCGGCGCTCCGCCATTTGAGAGACCGCTGACACCCATGGTAACCAACGGGTTGATGTCCGTGATTGGGAGTTGCTGCATTTCCTCATATAGCTCCTGGACTAGTTTCGTCCAGTATTCGAGGCAGATCTTGAAAATTTCTCGGTCATCGATCTGACTAATGCGGATAAGGTAGAAATGGCCGTGGGTCAGATAGTCAGAGTTTGGTAACCTTTCAATGAGCTAATGCAGAGTTAGACTGGCTTAATTGAAGTTGAATAGATAAGACATACGTGTAAGCGCACGCTGAAAAAATTAGTAAGAAACAGTGCCAAATTGAGCACAAATTCTTGATCCCTAGAGTTGCTGGTAGGATATGTTTGCCTCAGATCTAGCGACAAAGGGATGATTTTGGAGACGGTAGTCAACGTGTCTGTAAACATCTGTACCAGTTTCTCATCATATGAATACTGAGGCCCAACCTGCAGGCTTCCGATCTCCGTCAGGCATTTCAACGTCACATTCCGAAAATCGGGAACATCCAAAAAGCGGCTGAGAAGAGTGTTGATGATGGGTGTCTCAAAAACGTAACCCAGCGGAATCCAATTTAGGAAACGGAGTAATGTTTCCAAGGTTGCTTTGATTAAGCTGCTCTGGGTGGCTGTGCCCAGAACCTCGGAACAGAGCTGAAATATAGAGGAGAATTCTTGACACATTGTGGTTTTCAGGTTTCGAGCCTTCGTCGAGGTCATTTGGTCCTGGGAGTAGTCGAACACCTCCTCTGACAATAAGCGAAGAATCGCCATATTATTTTCACAGATTGACAAGCTTGTATGGCAAGACGAAATGATTTCGTTGATGAACGTCGGCCAATTATGTGGCCATTCCTGTTTTAAGATAGATACGAGCACGAGGTTCAGTTTGTTCAGAAAGGCCCTTTCACTCTTAAGTTTTTCCTCCGTCTTCGAGTGTTCAATGATGCAATTGACGATGAAATTTCGGATACCTAGTAAAGAGTGAGTAGCGTGGATTTGGTAGCTGAAAGTATGCGAGCAGCTATACCTTGACATTGGTCCCGCGGCAAGACCTTCCATCGTGTCATAATCACATCGTCTAGGACCTGCAGAGCCAAATCTACAAGATGTTAGCCGCTGGGTTCGTGATTTACTGGGCGCATTACGGTAGCTTGCATTTTGTCTGGACATAATTCGACTCTTGGAGAATGTTTCCCACCAGCAACCACGCATCAGGGTTTTGCTTGAACTGCAGACATCATATAAGCATTTCTGTTACGATTTTAAGGGCCGAATTGTTTGAGTGGAGAGAATCGCACCTCTGTTAAGGACTGCTGAGCTTGCTTTCGCTGTATTGAAATGTGAATTATTAGCGCCTGCAACTTATAACAGTCTTCAAGGTCCAGGGTGATCAAGAAAGGTACATACAACGTCGCCTGACCCTTCATAGAACGCTCGGACCGTGTTATCCAGCTCCTGTATTGAAATCGACATGGCGCACCAATGTCAGGGATTCACCCCGCAAGCGAGTTCAATCCTTTTTCGTTCCGGCGGCTGCGTGAGAGATGAGGTGCGCTTGACAGGATGAGGAGCGGGACGAAGAAGTGGCTGTAGCTTCGAATACCTGGGGAGACAGGACGAGTGATGAGGGGTAACTAAATATCGGTATGGGAAGTTGGGAGCTGACTAAAGTTAGAAAGGAACGCTTCGTTGTTTTAGAGGCAATTAGTTACCTGTAAAGGGGAAATGAGCAGGGACTTCCAAAATACTGGACCGCTTGAAGTCACAAAAGATTGTCAATCCTCCACAAAAGAGCAGCAAGTTATCTTGTTTTTAAGAGAGCTGCAACAGTTGTTGAAGCTGGGTTGATAAGGCTGCTTAGTCATTGATTGAATTTCATTAACCACTTAATAAACTTAACTACCAGGCCAGTGTGCAACCAAAACTGTGAGTCTCAGCATCTTCTTATAACACAGCTTGGTTTAGTTACTCAGGCAGTTTAACAAGAATTGGATTCAAATTAATTATGTGCCTTCCTGTGGTGGTTGTCATATTAGATTAGTTGATATGCGGTCTCAACAATCAGATGGATGCTGTGTTGGGTCATGACTAGCAATTAACAAACTTGTTAACTTTGTGATACGGCGCTTGAAAAATTCGAGATATACAAGAATTGTCTAACATCAGATGGTATAAATTTCATCAAGTCTAACAGGGACATCTCTTGGTAGGAAATCTTTACATCATAGAAACAAAGAAAAACTGGCAACAGTATGCATCATTCTACTAAAATGTAGGATCAAGAAATGCACGGTATCTCGGGAAGGAAACACAGCAACGCTTAATATCAATTATAGTCGAGATTCGAAACCATTTACGGCCTCGGGAGACTTTCCGTTCTTATACTCGTTCCATGCCCGCATGCCTTCCGCACGTGCATCATACCCAAACAGGAACCGCTGGAAGACTGGATCAGCCCAGCGGTTGGGGAACCCTTCGAACGGTGTCTCATTCAGCAATACCCTATCGCGCTCCTCCTGGCCAGGACCGTCATGCATATGGAAGATATCTCGGAGAGCGGTGCTTCCACGGACTACTCGGGTTGTTCTCGACTTCCGAACCCTTTCATAGATGGCTAGAAGGTCGCTCAATTGTGACTTGTCTTCAATTTGCTCAAACATGGCTCCCAGGACTGCTCCATCTTCGACGGCTTGCGCGGCGCCTTGGGCTCTGGTTAAGTTCATCAGCACCAGGTAAAAGAAACCGAAGTGTCATTTCATCACTCACAGGTATGGAAGGGTTGCATGGCAGGCATCGCCCAGCAAGGCAAACTTTCCGCTCGGATGGCACCACGATGCCATTTCTTCACTGTTCTGTAACCTCCATTTCTTGGTTTCTTGAACCAAATCAAGGATTACCTTCAGTCGTGGATCCCATTTCTCGAAGAATGTCCGCATTTCTTCCAGATCCGCCTGTGCGATATGCACGAGCTCGGGTAGGTTATCCGGACAGATTAAGACGATATTGTACAGGCCGCCACCCTGGAGGAAATAGCACACTGCATGGGCATCTGGGCCCATCCAGTAGTTGATGCATGGCTGTTCAAGAAATTCTGAGAGTTCGGGATGCTTTCTCATATCTTCGGCCTTTACGATGATTCGGTATGCCAGATCCCCCGTCAGGCGAGGCGGATCCGGATGGCCAAGAAGAGCTTCTCGACACGCTGACTTTAGACCGTCGGCGCCGAATATGACGTCGGCATGGAAATCAGGTTTCCCTTTCAGGTGAACTGCGGGTTTTCCAAAGTCCACTCCGATAACCGTCGAATCGAGTAAGATCTCTACCCCCTGCCTTATCGCTTCCTTCAGGAGGATCCTGTGATAATCTGCTCTGTGGATGTGAAGATACGGCGTGCCATATTGGTTTTCGGTATATGGAAGGACATTCTGGACAGACAGCACCTTTCCGTCCCGGTACGAACGAAGGATAAAATCTTTCGGGCGCACAGAGACCGTTTCTATTTCGTCCAAAAGGTTCCATTGCTTCAGTACTAGGGACGCATTGGGAGGGATCTGAATTCCTGCTCCGATCTAACGGAAGAAAAAGTAAAATCAACACTCCAGTTCAATTCTGCTGAGTTGAAATGGGCGCTATCCGTACCTCTCCTAGCTCAGGGGCTTGTTCGAGTAGGGTGACCTTGTGTCCGGCTTTTGCAATGCCAATCGCAGTAGCCAGGCCACCTAGACCGGCTCCCACTATGGCGACGTGAATTCTAACTTTAGGCATGGCTTGTATTGTCTGAAAGATGAGAAAGAATCCAAGATGTCTGAAGGAGAAAGCATATGAGTTCGCTTTTGGGGATAGTCAAAAGAGAGGATTTAGAGGCAAATATATCTTAAGAAGACCCAAAAGGAGGGTGAACATTCGATGACTTGATCCATCATGGCTTTAACGAAGTCGTTAGAGCCGTTGTGGTGGCCGATAGGCCACTGATTAGCATCAAACATGGCTGGCAGTGAATCTCGGTAACTAGTTGATGAGGATCGGTGACTCGCAAAAGGTCCGCTATCCAGCGTCGAAGCAAGAGCCGCTCCTGACCTCGCAAGCGAAAACCTAGGCCAAGAGGCAAAGGCGATCCACCCGTAGACCCAGAAGGATGTGGCCAGAGAAGATGACGGGTTGTTTTCCCGGCGAAAGGGATGTGGAGAATACGCTCGGGCAATGGATTTTTGTTCGGCAGTCAAGAAGGGCCTTCCACGTGACTGCACTTCAACTCCCGCACTTTTATTGCTGTCGGTCGTTTTATAGTTGCCTTTACCCCACACTCCCACTCCGTCCGTCGAAGAGCGCATCGTAAAAAGGGAGGAGAGGAAGAGGGACATGGGATTCGGGGTTATGCGCTTTCGGCTATCTACACACATACGAGGCCGGTGAGTTGGGCTCTTTGACCATCTGTCGTGTCGTCCGGGGGCCTTTTTAGACACATCTTGCCCGAATAGATGGTACTCTCCGTTGATTCGCGTCGCCGAAACGAGCCGATGAAGAGAGAACTTTAAGAATGATCATGATGTTCTCCGTAGCTAATGATCTAGTTATTTATAACTAGTTACCGTAACCTCCACTCTACCCCTGGCGCAAAGCGCCATCATCCACGCGGCGGGTGCCGTCGGCGGAATGCCATGATCACTGTTCAATCTGCGCCCAGCACCGGGAGGTATCTGCTCGACCAGAGAACGTTGATTTATGAAACCAGACCCTCAAGGAGACAACCGTCAAGACGCCGGCTTCCCTGTTCGATGATTTCGGGCGAGAAGCCCCCTTCCCTGGAGCACGCTACGCGGCTTTTTAGTCATGACTTGCGAACTCCGGAAATTGTCATAGCTCAATTGACAATAATAACGAGGATATAACTATGGGCTTATGCCTTGTCGGCAAAATCTCGATATTTCTGGCGGGTTGAACGAAATGCTGCCAAAAAGCAACCTTGGAATTGCGCGGAAAACATCTTTTCCGCGAATCTTTTGCCGCGATCACAGCCTGAACACGTGATGGACTAAGGATTTTCTCCGAAGAAGCCGTCCAAAACAACCGCGATGGCCTTTCTATCTGTCGCTTGAACATCCGTGCCTCGTATTCTCCAAATGTCCCTGCGCAGCCTTTGATAAAAGCATGGGGTGTCAAACTTGTGTGTCCCAAGGCCGGTGAACAACTTGTATTCGAAGGCATGCCATAGTAGTCAAAGTAACCCTTTTATTATGATGCATAGTTGAAGTTCTCAGTTTCAGCAATGGCGCCAGGCAACTTGAGCATTGATGATAACTGCGTAGCATTTGAGTAAGTGGAGATATATCAACCCGTCGGCTTGAATGATTGAGGCACAACCGCAGGGTAAGTTACTTCTAAAGATGCTCAAAGTCTCGCGGGTCAGATAATGGTAGATGCACAGTCGTGCATGTTATTGCTAAGACTGAGGGTGCTTAGGTTGTTGACTGAAAGGCTTTACTCCTTCTCACCGATGCTTGCTGCACAGATAGTTATAGAGACGTGGCAGGGCAACGGGGACATGGAACAAGTCATCAAGTAGAAAAGTGTTGCAACACTTAAAAAAGACGTGTTCCAGAATAATAAATCCTCGTTCGCGCTCGGGTGAGTGAACGGTTAATTTATTCCACACGAGGCACCAGGCCATTTGATCCGACTGGCGGAGGAGTTTTGACATTCCTTCAACAAGGGCTTTTTTCCATTTTAGATATAAGTTCAGGTGTAGTATTGACTATTGGCTTAAATGCGGAGTACCGCGAAGGACGGATACTACGACGTCTTGAAGCAACACGAAGTCCTTGATTGCTATTTTCTGAGCTGGAATGTTTTGTTCATTTTAAAAAGAAAACGTTCTCTTTCGCCAAAGCTTGAAAGTTTACGACATTGCGATGTTTCGTCCGTTGCTACGTGATGGTCATTTGCCTGTCAGGATGGATCCAGCGCCAACAGGTAGCCCCTGTCCCTTTTTATTCACAGTTGGATTGATGTTTTTCTTTATCTCGTTGAATCCGATTCGGTGTGACGATTAAAATTGACGCCCTGCCCTGAGGAACCGCAATGCAGCTTGTTACGCTCAGCCTCAACATTATGTGCTCTGTTGTTTGGTGTCGGAGATTTCCCTGTGGCTATGAACTCGCCACCATGGGGTGCATCTCACGAAACGTTTCTCAGGGCCAACGAGTGTGATTGCTCCAGATTAATAATTTGGCACTCCAGATTTGAGTTGTTTAGCTGCTCGGCTAGCTGACATGAAAGTCAGGATAAACGCGGCGTATCACATTTGGAGGGATGATTGGTCACCGCGCGATCCCAAGGGGGGTTTGGGGTGATTGGCGAAGTGCAGCTGCAGAAAGTCAAAGAAAGGCGTCCTCGACAAGCGGTTGGTTAGCGACTGGCGCTGAGGTGGATGCGCAAAGTGTCACCTCGCGGGAAAGCCAAAGGCTGCTTTGTTACACAAGACATGAGTCTGACCCCTCTCCCAGCCCCCCCTCTTTTCCACGGGGGCATATATTTCATCTGGACAGAGAGAGGATGGGATTTTTGATTTTCGATTTTTCTAGATTTCCCCTGCTTGTGTCTTTTTTTGTGGCGCTTCAGAATGTCTTGTTGCGCTGGCACACTTTAAAAGAGGGGGTGCGCGGAAGGGTCACAAATGCGCTTGGATGGGCTGGCCGGAAAAGGAGCGATCTGCGACTGCCGCTCGGTTAGCCCGAAAAGCCCCAATTTCTAAGAATAAAAGACGGAGCCTGGACGAATTGGTCAGAGAGTGCAACCAGTCCCGGGAACCAAAATGGATGCTGTCGCAGTTTGACCACGTCTGATGTGTGACGAATGTTGGTAGCAGACGGAGTTCTTATCATAAGCAGATCAAACGGGAGACGACACTGGGCCTGGAGGAACCACAAACTGTCCACTTTTTCCGCTGCTGGATTCCAAGAATAGCGAGCGAGACGAGAACAGGGGGTGTGCCCAATGAGAGTGCCAGCCGTGCCCATCACGATGTCAACCTGGGACTGCGGGTGTTGGGAGCGCTGCGATTTGGGCAGCGCGTCATGCGCCTATGGAGGGACGGCGACTAAAGGGGCGTGTCTCTGGGCACGGCCAAAGACAGGCAATGCCGAAGCCCAAGCAGCAACGCCCATTGGATGCAGGCCAGGGTTCATCATGGTCGAGAAAGTCCGTGGCGGTCCTAAATTCCCCAATCCCTGCTTGGGATGACAACCAGACAGGCTCACAGGTGATGGCCAGATGATTATTGCGATTCGAACTGGCTGGTTACGAGAACGACGGACTGCCTCCTCCCAGCGCGCTAGGCGGGTTAGTGACTGGAACGGCATTTCCGCAGCGCCTACGTTGGAACTCCACTGTGCAGGAAGAGAATAGCACGCCTTTTGTTTTGAGAGCATCGATCAATTATTCATTTGTTCCTCGTTTCTTTCGAGATAGCATCAGCCATCCCCGTAATGATGAGCGCTTGCTCCAAGGAGTGCCGTGTTTCAACGTAGCCCGTAATGTAGCGTCAGACAAACAGCGGTAAAAGGCAGCGAGCGGAGCAATACGGTACGGTGACGGGGTCGGATACCAAACAAACAGGCGCAAGCCAATAATACGAGGCTGATCCAGTGGCAGCGCAAGCGACAGCCGAAACGAAACGATACAAACGCCCTTCCCGCCCAGCCGCCCTCCGTTTCGTCTTGAATCGTCGCGGGCGGTTAGAGAGTCGAGCCCAGCAAAGCACCAGCGCCCTTTGCTCCCAGAGTCCCAGGCCCAAACATGCGGCCACCGCAACCCCCCGGCGTCGCGCCAAAAAGCCCACCGTGCAAGACCCAATTCGCAAGCCGTCGCTGCTGTGCTGATTATTGCTGGACTCTCGAGCCCTTTTTGCCCACTCCAAGCCTAATTTAGTTTAACCTAGCTCTGCGCTGCTGCTTCGCCCGCTCGTCTACCCATCAACTAGGAATAATAAGAGCCCGTTCTAATCGCCCACGCCCCAATCCTCAACCTCCCCTCTTCCTGTTGTTTCTCTCATCGCTTTTCGCTCAATCTTCCTCTTCCACCACCACATCCCCTCTCCATCTTCCTTCCACTCTCCCAGTTTACCATCTCAAGTCAACCACTGCCTTCCGTTGCCATTTCACCCTGCTTCTCTCCGCTGTGTAGCCTCTTCGGACCGCTGCAATTTGCCCATCGAAACACATACAGACCCCGATTCTAATAAGCTTCCGAGCGACCTGTCCCCCCCCATATTAACCTCCCGCTCGACCCTCCCAACACGCCTTGACCTCCTACCACTCATCCTGATCTATCCAACGAAGCTAGAAGCACTCGAAACAAAGCACCTGGTTGTGCGCTTCACGGTCTTCTAGAGCCTCTGTTGCCGTTGCTCTCGAGGACTCGCCTATTCTCTATGCGCGACTCGCGCTCTCTCTCGGCCCCCCTAACCAGTTGCACCCGTTAACTGAATCCGCCTCCTGGTCTCATAGAAATACGAACGAGAAATCCGATCCTCTCGTCTTGTGCAAAACCCTTTGTCGAAAAGTCGCTTGAAACCACCATAATTCTGGCTCTAGTGCCCGTTACTCTACATATCTACAACGAGAGCGGCCATGTCAGCCGTGGCGGCCCCCAACATGGCCAATGGAAACCATGATGCGTCGAGGGATTCAAACATAGAGAGCCCCTCGCGGTTTACTGCCGTCAACGGCAGGGATCCGCCGCCTGTGTTTCTCAACGGCTCGAATGGTACCTCCGATACTCACACGCCAACGAACCACAGCCATGAGCCGGAACGACCCGTCGAAAGTCGTCGCGGGAGTGAGCTTCAAAAAATCCTGCCAGCACAGAAAGATTTACCAACGATAAACGCGAATCATGACCAAATGGAGGACCAAAAAGCCTCAGATGCCCGCTCCACGAGCCTTAATCGAAATAAACGAAAGAGATCCGACTCCGGTGACCGTCAGGTGTCACCCACCTCAAACTATACTCCAAGCGTTTCCAGAAGCCCCAATCCTAGAATCGGAGACAACGTACCACTGCAGCCCCGCCCAGTGGAAATGAATGGCATGACAAGGCCAACCATGACACCCGAATCTGACCTTGGAACCAGGGTGCCTCAACGACAATTTTCCGTTGACGGACCGGATGAAACAAATCTGATGTCGCAGCGTGCCGCGTGGAATGGCCACGACTCGCAATCGACGAGCCAAAACGGACACTTAAGCCAACCAATAGACTCTTCCGATGCCCAAGTTGCCGAAGCACTCCAGAGGGACGTGCAGAGCAATGATGATGTTTCAAAAGCATGGGATTCCGCGTCCAACGGGCACCGAACCGAAACCCCTGGCCCGAACCATGCTCAGTTGGTCCTTCAGAATCAAAATCAACTTGACGAGAAACCGCAAACCCAGATTCAACCTCAGATCAAATCCCAGCCCCAATCTCAAAACCAATCTCAGGGGCAGTCGCACTCTCAATCTTCCTCCCAGTCTGGCCCCAAGAGAAAAAGGGTTTTCAGCAACAGAACGAAGACCGGCTGTATGACGTGTCGTAGACGAAAGAAGAAGTGTGACGAACAGCACCCCGCATGTAAGCTTCAATCCTGGCAGCTGGTCAACACTTTTCGCGTGATTTCTAACATTTGTCCTGCAGGCAACAATTGCATCCGTGGCAACTTTCCTTGCGAAGGGTACTCTGCTCGAAGCACCTGGCAAAAGCCTTCTAACCCAAAAGGTCCGGTCCCTTTGCAATCCAAAAGCAATTATCCAGAAGTTGCTCACCCTTACACCCACGAAGTGAGCCCCCAGCGACACGATACTAGGATTTCAGCTGCTGCCATACTCCCGGACGGCACCAAGGGCAGGCCAGTACCAGTTGACGAAGCTGATCGTGGCGCAACGCAGTATATTAGTAGCCCACCCGGTACCGGTTCGAGGAATTCGTGGCCCAAAGCATCCTGGGCCACGCAGGGACCCACAACTTACCTCCCGGACGGGCCACCAAAGCCTGAATTCAGGGATAGTTCGGGTCTGAAAGATATCTCTCGAACCGAACAGACAAAGACAGACTACACAGTGGTACATTCAAGCTGCGAATTGAGTCACAATTCACACCCGAAACCAACTTTGGCTGTGTTCCAGAACACCATCGAGCAAAGGCAGCCTCCTCCCCGTCTCGACGCCGCCAACTATTCCGCTCAGGCCCGAATGGCTTTGAATATGGAGCCGCATATCACCTTTGAGTCAAGCGGGAAGACTGAAAAGGAGAAGATGCTCAGTGGAGAGCAGTACCGACCGTTTGATCCTCAACTTACCAAAGACAGAGAACGCTGCAAAACTGCTCTTTGGCGATTCACCAACGCCGGAAACCCTATTTATGGAATCAGCACCACCGAACGTACCCGACTGCTGAAGGAAATTCTGATGCCTCCGTCTGAGGGCCAGTCGGAAATCGCGGCTTCTCAGCCAGTAGGATCTTTGGGTCCTGGTGCTGTTGTGGAAGCCCCATTCAATTGCCACTATGGCTACAACATCAACATCGGAGAGGACGTCTTGATCTCAGAGAATTGCTTTTTCGCTGATGATTGTACCATTACTGTCGGCGCGCATACTTGGATTGGCCCTAATGTTACCATCCTCAGCTCCATGGCTATTGGTAGTATGCAGGAGCGCAAAGGGTCGCAGAGCCGGTACCAAGGGCGTCCCGTCGTCATCGCCGAAGATTGTTGGATTGGTGCTGGATGCACAATCCTGCCAGGCGTCACCCTGGGACGAGGAGCTTATATCGCTCCCGGCGAAGTTGTCCGGTCTCAGATTCTGCCCTACGGTTTCCAAGGTCTAAAACCCAACTATCCATGAACTTAGCATATTTTAAAACTTGCGTTTTCGATGTGAAAAACGGCCTTGGCGGGAACGGTGTTCGTCCTATTTTTTTTCTTTTGTTTGATATGTTGAGTGCCTTGGAACCTACTATTCTTGCATGTTGTCGACGGAGAACCTCTCCGGGAAACTACCTAAAATGCTGGTTTGGAGGTATATATATATACCTTCGAGGTGTACCGCGGATAAATCTTTGTGCCTGTTATACTGGTTTGGATACCACCTTTTGCCATGGTTTGATGTGTGAGACGTTCTGATTGGTATGTACGTATTATACCACTTTCTCTCTTATCTTTTTCTTGTCTGTTTTTGTAACCTCTTTCATTTTCCTACATGTCTTCTTCTTTCTCTTACAAAATGTTTCAAATCCAGATGTCTTGTTTGCCTCCTTCATTTGCCTTTTGTTTGTGTTGTTATGGGAGGGCTGGTCCCGGATTGCGGCATGTATGAATTATGTGTAAAAAGTATCAATCAATGTTTTACTAATTACACGTACACACATGTTACAAACTAGATCTATTGACCATTGGGGCTAGTTAGTATTCGTTTATCTATTTACTGCAGTTCTTGTGGGTGGCATTTTGATCTGTTTCCGCGCAAAATCCTATAGATGATAAATTGTTTTTATCTGGCATATCATAATCTTGTAGCCGAATTCTCGTTTTAAGGATATGTTGATTGCGTGCAAAAGAGTCCAATTCAATAGACTTGTACCTCAAGGGCAGCTGTTATGCAGTACCTCTAGTATCTTTGCATGACGAGCTAGGATGGAATGTAAAAAGGGCATGGCCGAAATTGAGGCTGACATTTCAAATCTAGACGGTCGTAAATACAAATGTGGAATACGTTTATGAGGGTACCTTGTAATAAACAAATAGCATGGAAGGGAGAAATCTAAAGAGCTCCAAGGAGATTTACACCGAAAATAATTCATCATCTCATGATCCAGTCTAGGAACTGAGCCAGTCCAAAAACTCGGGGGCAAAGTAGCTCACGACAATGCCAGCGCCGGCGCGGAGTATACCCTCTGTGCTTTCTATTGCCATCGTCTTCAAGTCAAATACACCAGCCTTTGCACCGGCGTGGATCATGGCAAACTCGCCACTGACCTGGTATGCAGCAATGGGCATATCTTTAGCCAGCTCCTTGGCATCGCTGATGATATCAAGGTAACTGCTCGCCGGTTTCACCATGATGATGTCGGCGCCCTCGGCAATATCCCTCTGGATGGCGCGGCGGGCTAGACCTCGGCCCCCAGGAGGTAGCTGGTAGCATCTGCGGTCGCCAAACGACGGAGTAGAGCCCGCAGCGTCGCGGAAGGGTCCGTACAGACAGCCGCTGAATTTAGCGCTGTATGACATGAGGAGCACGCGATGGGCGATGCCGGCTTCGATCAGTTTGAGCTTGATGGCCCTGACTCGGCCGTCGTTCATATCGGAGGGCGCGACGCAATGAGCGCCGGCTTCAGCGTATGCGAGTGCGACGTCAGAGATCCGGTCAATCGAGAGGGCATTGTTCAATGTGCCATCTTCCCGGAGGATGCCGCAGTGGCCATGGGATGTGTATTCGCAGAGGCAGACGTCGGTGACGATGTAGAGTCGAGGGAAGTGTGTGCGAAGAAGGCGGATGGCTTGGATGACCGGGCCAGCCGGGTCGTCGGCCGAGGTGCCTAGAGCGTCCTTTGCGTTGGGGGCAAGGGGCACTCCGAAGAGGATGACCGAGCGGAGACCCTTGTTTATAAGCGGGGTAAGGAAGGGAACAAGGCGATTGACTCCGCGACGGTATTGGTTTGGCAAAGATGGAATGGGGGTTTCTTCGTCGGGGACGTCGGTGATGAAGAGCGGATAGATCAGCATCGACTACAGCGCGACATGCCAGCCTCGTCAGCCTCGATTCGACTCACAGATGGGCAGAGGGAAAGCTCACCTTCGTTAACTGTCTCTCAGCTTGCCAGGTGCGATTGAGCGGATGGCTGTAGCCAGCATGCAACTGGCTTGCGATATCCCCGGAAATGCTCACGCTGGTGGCGGCGGTGCTTACATGGGACCGGGTGGGCGCGCCCCTCGACACGACCGAACTGCGGTCATCTGGATGAGAGTCTCTGTATGCAATGTCCTGGACGAGCGACGAGAAAGACATGGCGAGATTGTGATGCGTGAGAGGGGCAAGTCGGTTGAGTTGCTCAAGAGCTGGGGCGAGTCGATGGTTCAACGAGATATTTCACGGGAGAATTTTCTCGGGAACTTTTGGTCCCCACGCGGCATCTCCGCTCCAATCAGACCGCCGCCATTTCGTGAGTTTGTCGGCACCAGGACGCGCCCTGCCACCCAGTGGTTGCGATCCCTGATGATTATCGTCTCTGCTACTCGAATCTACATAGCAGTCCGCTGTGGCTACTTTCGAACTTGCAGCGAGCAAGACCACGGCTGAAACCAAATTCATTAAAACTACCTAATGAAAAAGTCTAGCATGTAACTAGTTAAAGAATCCGCGATTGCTTTTTCAAGACGCGATGCAAGCCCGGGTAGATTTCATTGATTCACAACTGTACATCATTGCTCAGAAGCCTGACTTCCTCGCCGGGCTTGAACGGGGGAAGGCCAATATATGGACACCCGTCGCATCGGAATGCATCCCCCAGGGCACAATTGCCACAGCTTCCCATTTTTCCTTGGACCGTGAAGTCGACCTCAGCCAAATCATTGGAACCGAGTTTCAGCGTTTCCAACGCAGCATCTGCATTCGCACGTTTTGCCGTATCCTCTTCGTGGAGTCTTTCCGCAAGCCCACAAGTGCAGTCTTTACAGGCTCTTCGGCGCTTCCCGGCTTTTGGACGGCATTCTGGAGCTGCGACGGAAAAAGAGTCAGTGCTGCTTCGGAGATGGCGGCGGGCAAGAAACTTACGTTGGACGATCGGTCGCCCCATATCCTCTTCATCCATCAGGGCCTCCTCATCAATCAGCTCGTCGTCATCTTCAGGAGGAAGGTCCAAATCGTCGCTGAAATCGACGAATCCTAGTCCCTGAACAGCAGCGCCTTGCCCATTCCGTTTAGAGTCGGTGGCTATTGGCATGTTGACAGTTACACCGTTGGCTTCCGCACCATCACCAGACGAAGCCGCCGGCGTCGCCTTCTTCTTCTTCCCTAGTTTCAACGGCACAGTATCTTGGGCGCCAAAGTTTGGTTTGACGAGGTCGCCATTGTCATCAAATACTAATCCCGCAAGGACGAGCTCGGTGCGGTCCGGGTAATCAGGAGATGCAAATAGTCCATGCTCACTTTTCAATTTCCCCCCGGGGCGGAGCGCGCGAACAATTGATTCTATCACCCCGCGGCTCATCCGCGGGGTCGATCCTGTTTTCAAACAGTCGGCATCTATTAAGAACATGACAATATCATAGGTGGATTCAGGAAGCGACACAAGGCCGGCCGCTAAGCGATCGAGCATCTGGAGTTCTGTAGAATATTGTGCATGAGCGCTAAGTATCGTACTCAGCTTCTCTGGATGAGCGGCGAGTGATGGAGGGGATAGAAAGAGCATGCGCTCCATGTTGCTTCCCAGAAGTTCCGTCAGAGTACACAGCAAAAGACGCTTTAACCCACTGAATCAAGGCCTTTGGCGATAATAGCCTGGAGAGTCTGCTTGGATATTCTTTAAATCTTGTCGAACATGAGAAAATGAAGACAAAAAAGGCTTTTGAATGCGATATTTATCTGATTATTAATGGCTTTCGCCCCCGCGGTAGTTAGTTACATTGAAAGCTCCAGAGCAATCATTAGTTAGTCAGATACTAACCCTCCGAGCGAACTAACCACCGATCAAGGTGCATCATTGTCTTAATAGCATGGACGGAGTTAAAAGGCCTCATATGGATTTCTTTGAGCGGTTGTGTGAATAAACTAGTTGTATCCCAAAGACATCTCTAACTTTTGATACCTTCACTCTTAGATCTGTGTGTCCTAAACGACAGCACTCATGATTAAGCAGGAAGAAAGTCAGTCTCCGTGTTCGTGAACTGTATACACATACAATACATCCATGCCACACTCAACCTGAGAGGGCTTAATGAGTTGAGCCTTGTGATTCTTTCCGCGGTGTTGAGGATCTCTTCTTGACCACACCGACAATCCATGAAAACCAATCGTCCAACCCACCCCCTTCAATGTAGCCGGAGAGCAAGCTGGCTTCCTCGTTAAGGTCGTCCGATAAACGAGCTCGTTGCTCTGGGAGGAGTCGGGAGGCCAGTCTGTGAGGGAATGGAGTCGATTGGGCAATGTCTAGGGGCGCATAGAATCGGTTGGAGGCTCCAGATCCTTTTACAGACCCTAGAAGATTCGTAAGTATACCTGAAAACAAATACCTATTCACGCATAGCTGCTAGGTCCTACCTTCTAGATCCTCCAGGGTTTTAAACAATGCGGTCGACTGGACAGCAGATTCCATTTCTTCGCCTCCCTTCTGCCTGGTGCTGTTGATGCTACGCCAGTCATCCCGGATCAAGCAACGTCGCCAGATAATCCGTTCAAGCACCTCGCAATAATCGGGATCCTGACGGCTGATATCACTTAAGCTCAGGACTTTCAATGCTAAGCTAAATTCATGGCCGACAATGTCACCATCTGCCCCTTCATTCACGCAAGGGTCCATCAACGTCAGAATATCAATCATCTCGTCTGCTTCAACCGGGCGTTTAGCGACCAGCTTCGCCAAACCACGCTGAAGACTTTCTCGAAGGGCCGGTTTCGAACGAACAATGATTTTCGCGAATTGTTCGTTTGCTAATTGCACTTCTGCGCTCTGGTCAATTGCCCCATGTATAGCGGGTGCTATATGATCATATAACGTTTCTTGGATGCGTGAAAGTTCTGAGATATCATCGAACCGTTTGATATCCGCCTGAAGTTGGTTTAAATCCTGTCGCTCGGAGCTTTCGAGCATGGCAAGCCGCGAGAGTTTCCCAATGGCAAGCTCCACTTGTTTGCTCCACAGATTTGGCTCATAGTTGGTCGCGAAATCGTTTAGTGATTGCGATGCCCTGCCAAAATCATTTTCTCCCAGGACCTCATTCATCCAGTTCAACTTGGCATAAGTCGGTCGCGCACGTAAGAAACGAGTGACGTATGGTTGATACGAGGACACTGACAGAAGCATTTCTGAATTGCCCGCTAGTATTTGTCGGGTATAATATGGCGTGGCCCAAGCTTCGCCGAACTTTCGAAAATATCCGTCAATTCTGAGCTGGCAAGCTTCTGTTTCGGCATCATACGCTGGGTCTCCCGCTCCCGCCGGATGACGCTTTCCAACTTCATCTTCTAGCTCGACTATCAGCTCTACCAGTGCGTCCATATCCTGAAAATCTTCTGCTAGAGTCATAGACTCCTCCAGTAAGCCCATCGCCGCTATCTTATAAAGATGGGGTTTACGGTGCGTAAGATAGGTTGACTGAAGCTCTTTTACGGCATCCCGTTCGTCCGTTGAAACCTGGGAAGTATACCAATGAAGTTGTTCCATATACAACCGCCATAACACTTTGAACGCTTTTGGAGCATTCTTTTTGATGCGCTCGATTATCTCGGAGGTTTCCCGATCTGACTGTCGAGATTTGGGGTCGGTTTGCTTCATCCATTGGAGACAAATGTTCAATTCGGCGTCAAGTAGTCGTTCACTTTCGGAGTAATTGGTTTTTAGTGCTGTCCAGAGAGCAGGAAGCTCAGTATAAGTAGGCATCAGAGGGTAGTCAGGGTCCGGGTGGGAACTTTCAAGCCCATATAGACCAGCATTTTCGTCCCGAAACCGGAATGTCGTTTCTAAAACAGCCAAAGAAAGTTCACTTGCTTGCCAGATTCGCCAAATGAGCTGCCTGTCCACTCGAATACCTTTGGCAGAAACATCCTGCATGGGATGTAAAATCCAAGGAATAATAAGTTCCATTTGCCATGTGTCATGAATAAACCAATGTCGAACAATGTCATCTTCTCCTGAGTTGGCGTCGAGTTGGGTCCGAAACTCTTCCCCCATGTGTTTTAAAACGAATTCCAGATAGTGCCCACCATTTTTGGAGCTTCGACACATGTATTCCTGGGCCTTCCACACTGCCCTATGAGCGGCCATCTTTTCCGCTTGCGACAGAAGAGTCCATTTTGCGGAATAGGAGAGCTGTGCATGCTGGTTGCTTAGATAAGTTCCTAACGAGCGTAGTGCTGCAGAGCGCAATTGCATTTGCTCGTCTAAGCTTGGAACTGTCGTGGAAACAAATTTGGAGCTGGATTGTAGAATCTCGTCGCTAAGTCTGAGAGCTGCGTCCTCGAGCACGCTCGCTGACGTATGGAGTTCTTCATAGCAAGTAAGATCAATAGGGTTATGTTTCGTATCGTAAAACACCACTTGCTCAAGTCGGGATTGAGTCGTTATCCTGCTCTCGTCAACGTCACTGCCAGATATTGGTCGAGGGCGGACGGAGATACGGATCAAACCGAAATTTTGAACCATCACAACGCAAGATGGGCTATTTTGACCGAATTTCGGGGTTTCAAGCCCACATCCAATGATAGAGTAGCCGTTTCCGTCTCGAAATCTGATATAGTCCTGGAATGGGGAGGGAATCTCGTTACCAAACAAAAGCTGCGAAGATGGCGATTCTTCGAACGGCACTAAGGACAGCAAGACGATTCCATTCTCAAAGATAACAAACCCAGTATGCTCGGGTTCCGGGACGTAAATACGCGGCACTCTTGAAATCGTGGGTTGTGGCATGACTGGTTCATAGTGAATCTGGCGTACACGCCCGATTGTGACTTGAGCGCCATGGATACTTACTTCAATAACAAAGTAGAAGTTCAATTCCTGTCGAGTGACAGAATAAAGAACCCAAAGTGAGTATTTGTCTTCCACCCCATCCGGTTCTATGGAATTGTCATTTTCGCGAATTGTGAAGTCGATGAGCTGGTAGGAAATGTGAGGTTCATTTGCGAACATGTCATATTTCTCCAACGCTTGGCCGATCGGCTTTGCCACGTCGACGTGACTTTTAAAAACACTGCCGCTACTCCAATGGGTATCCCAGGCTTCAATCGACCCCGAATTCGTCGCCACTACAAGCGTACGGTATCCACGTCGAGGTGATTTTCCAGCCTTGGCGGCAGCTATATTCCTCCTCCAGGCAGTGCTTGAGAGAATACTTCTAATCCCACCGAGTAGGCCGCCGCTTTGCGACCGTGACGGGCTATTCAGGAATTGAAAGTCGATGGCCGCTTTGCCCTGGGAATCTCGGATGGAAACTTGGCAAAGCCGCCCTGTGGATAATATAACTATGATCCCGGCCGGCTCGACATTGACGATTTCTGTGACGTGCTCGCCTGAAAGAAGGCCGGGAATTGTGCTCTGTAAACTATTATGTTTCCGCTTAATCCGCCCAAGTATCGTGGGATTCGAAATAGTCTCCCAGAAGAAAACTTCCCCGGTCGACGGCGCGACGACAATCAAACCAGGTTCTGGGTGAGCTGAGGCAGATATAACTGTTCCGAAGGGCAAGGTGTCGCTCGAAGGAGCTGATGTTTCGGAAAACGGAAGCACGGAAACGCTATTTGTAGCCAAGGAGGTTGAGAAGGACGGATAGGGCCAAAGAATCGCGCTTTTTTGGGTGATGGCGAGGCAATATCTCGTCTCTTGGGAAATGACACACCGAAAAGGCACTGGCGGAGTTAGAAGGGTATGGCATGAATATGATCTTTGAAGGCGGAACCAACCATTCAAAACCTCTTTGACCCTTGCTGGAAGCGAGGATAAATGAAGGACAAAATAATGCTCGTTGTTTACCTATAGAGATCCCCTATTAGCTTAAACCAGACATCCATCCCTTGATCTGCCAGTTACCAGAGTATTCGAAATCAAAGTATCACGCCTATCCACTTCCTTCGGTCCCCGAAAAGGGACGTCCTTCAGACTTAGCGGAGCTGATCCTCCAAGTCCTACTTCGCTTTCATCCTCCGATTCCTTAAAACCGGGTTTAGCTTCGCTCCGTTCCTTGCCGTTTACGACATCGAATGCATCGTCGCGTTGTATCGACCTCTGCCTTTTCGCGTTCGGAGGATTGGCTGCATCATCCGGAGCTCGTTGTCGTCGGCGAGGATTTCTGGGAGCTAGCTGGAATTGACCCGGGGTGCTTGTGGAAAACATGTTAAAAAGCAGAGATAGCACTGATCACTGGCAATTAAATCTCAGCTTCATCTCTGTTCCCTCATAAACAATCTCATTAAGTCATGTTAGGGTTTTGAGTTAAGGGAAGCAGCAGTCGTTCTTTGCATATAATTGGTTAACTAGTTAGCTTAGCCAAGCTGTTGAGGTCTTCCGTAGAAAATGTCAGTTTGATGCTGTAGTACTCCGCAGTCCATGTTCTTGTCTTGAAATCTTGTAATCTGAAACATACCAAACAGTCTGTAACAAGGTATGGAGTATACCCAGTGGACGACATATGTAGCGCCGTATTTTAAACTTAAATACAAAACAGACAGGCCGTCACGCGACCACAAGATTGGAACCAATCAGTCAGCCCCATAGTAACTGAATTGTCATGTCAGCCCATTGATCAATGCCAAGTCTGGTGCATTTGCGGGGTTGGCTCACGGCAGGAGCTGAGACTGGACGGCCCCTCAAGCTCTATGTAGTTCTCTCTTCCGGACTGGGTTGAATTATTGTAGCCTTTCATGCAAAGAATGATCACCATAATGTCATGATCTCATCTCTTGCAGCTTGATAAAAGCAACCTTCCATCCGTTTCATGTCCTTGCAACGTCAAGTCACTTGGACTCTCGCAGCTCATCAGCTACAGTCATTGTTTTTACTATCGCGTGCTTATCCAGGACAGCTGCACAATTCCAGAGTTATTCTTATCTACAAGTAAGTTCCTTCACTTAGCACTGCTTAAACCGGTCGGTAACATGTCAGGTTGCTCTTTCACTAACATTCCCTTCCCTCTAACAGTGACTCGATCCCACAAGCTTAACGATCGCGACCACTCAGGGGAAGAACCCTTGCCTCGTTACTTCGCAAAAAGCGGCTTTCTCGATGCTGACCCGAAGAAGACAAAGAAGGACGGTGGTGGGAAGGCCAATTGGTGAGGCTTGTCATATCCAGGAGACTCGGTTACAATGACTGATATTCCCGCATTACCAAAGGGGTCGAGAAGGGGAAGAGGTGCATGATTACGGCTATACCTTCGCAAACGCCCGTCGTCGATCTAACAGTAGCAATCAAGGGCTTGAAGACTTTAAGACCAAGTTTGAGGCCGTTGAACATGACCCGGTTTTCGAAGAAGAAGATATCAACGACCCAGATAAAGAGTTGGATGCTGAAAATGCAAACGCAAGGAGCAACAACTCAGAGGCAAATGCTAACGAAGTCGGGGGATTGAACTCGGAGATTAAGAAGGCAAAGGCGTCATAAATGAATAAGGCACTACCTTTCCTCGTATGTAAAAGCGTAGGTTGTGTCATGGCTGTTGTGATTCCCATTTTTAGCAGCTTCAATCACTGGGGAAATGATCCAACTACCCGCTCAGCTCTGATATCTCCTAGATCAACGTTTCAATTCATATTCTTTTCAATATTTCCTTTTTTAATCAAGGATGATATGGTTCAACGTGCTTATCGGCTAACCACGTCTTCGGCTTTTTTGGGTGCCTGCGTGGGTAGGCGAAGATGAAGAGTAAGGTTGACAATTGGACAAGGGTGAGTTATCAAGTCGTAAGCTCAACCAGAGATTGATCTTCTGCTGCATGACAAGCTCCTCCGGAAATATTATTAGAGAACTTGGTGTATGAAATATGGGTCAAAGATAAATGGGCATTAATACTCTCTACTCCGTAGTTCGAACATCTCGAGATCGTCCGGCTCCTCAGACCCGTTTGTTAGTTTGCTACGGAGTATACGGATACGGAGTACTCGGCTCGTGCATCGAAAGTGTTTCACAGGAGTGACATCACTAACTAACTAGTTAGAAACTAGTTGACTAACTTGGTCCACTAGTTAACTAGCCAGTTTAACTACAGAGTAGTTACGGAGTAGTGACTTAACTTAACTAACTAACCCATTATTAGCTGACTAGTTAAGTAGCTAGTTAACCCATTAGTTAGTTAACTAAGTTAAATTAACCAGACAGCTTAGAACACAGGAGTCAATTCACTTCACAGCTTTAATTTATTTGATTGCATGTCTACTCCGTACTCAGTACATATTGGTGTTCAGAATAGGCACTCTTTCTATTGATCAAGATATGTTTGGCACAAAAACAACATGAGCCAAAGAGCAACAAAAGACACTAACTAACCAGCCTATTTCTTTTGAAGCCCGAAAATATTGTCTATGACTGAATTAAAGAGGTCATTACCACTTGCCCAGAACAAGGACTTTGGCCGTGTAAGAACCATTCAATCGTTATAGACATGGTGCAGCTAGAAAAAAGTGGCCATAGCCAAGATGAGGTAAAAATGTCAGCATTCAGGCGACCTTGGATTTCTGTTTGGCTGATTTGTGATCACCTAGTAGCTCACGGTTCCGCCCTCTGTTTTGAAACTTGAACTGGAATATGAACAAACTCTTGCTCGAACTGCTACTCTTATTTTTCGAGAAGATTGCCGTTTATTGAATATATCTAAGAGGCTATCGGAGGATGATGGAGAACGGTTATCCGAAAAAATCGAGTCTACGACGAACAAGCTCCAGCATACAGAAGCGCGGCTTTGTCATTCGGAACAACAACTACAAGCTGTACAAGCTGCGCTCATTCAGCTTCAAGCTAGGCTTCAAGCTACATCTCGACAGATCAACTTACTCAAGGCGAGTTTCCTTTTTATTAGTTTTTCTCCTCTTCAGCGTTAACTCTTGCACAGGAGAAAAACAGCTCTTTAGAAGCGACGTCGGCAAGCGTGGCTAAACTTCAGACCGAAAAACTGTCCCTAATGCGAGAAAACTCGAGTATGAAACTGGAAATGTCACAGCTGCGTTCGCAGCAAGCTTCTCAACAAGCGGCCATTACGGAAAAGCTAAAGTCGGAAATTGATAGACGCACACTAGCTGAAAATGAGGTAAATGAACTCAAGTCCAAGCTGAAAGTCGCAAATCAAAAAACAAGAACAATCCCGCATGATTCTACGTTTGAGCGTCAAGAAGATGTGGCCGATGTGAGAGTGCTCAAGGGTGGGGAGGATATACCAAATCTAACCCACTTCCGACACAAAATGACAATCGCAACTCCAGGTGCCGCAAACTTGCCCCAAAAACGTAAGAAAGCGTCAGCACTTCTGGGCGATATATCCTCGTTTTCTGTAACGCCTTTCCTCAATCGAGCGAATACCGACGAGGCCCCCGATATAAGTTCCGAAGAACCCGAGGATAGCCCTGTGTTTGAGACTCGAGCTTTGGCTCCAAGGTCAATTAAATTAAGTAACGCAGAGTCCCATTCTCCTACGAATCTTAGGCCTCCCGGAAACGAGGCGATTCCCCCATCAACCAAAACACTTACAGGGAAGCTCACACAAAATAAGCATGATAGTTACCGGGTGTTAAATAAGCGGAAGACCCAACCTAGAAAGACCTCAGCTTCACAGGTAGTTGACGAACCGTCGCAGTCGACTCTTACAGAGCAACAGCGAGGTGCTTTGAAGAAACGCCGAGTTCTCGGCTCGAAACGTGAGGGAAATGTATTTGACTCAGGGGACGACCTTGGAAATTACCGAAATTTCCAAGGAATCGAATCTCGGGATGGTCACAAGCAAGGAATGCAAACACTGCAGTTCTCACCTTTGAAACGCCAAACAAGGCCCGTATAATTTAGGGTCCTGTTGTCAAACGAGCTCGACAGCCTCTATAAACTGTGTAAAATTTCGCGATGAGCTCTCTCTTCTTTGAAAGATAACCAATATCCGCTGATTTCAATAAACTAAATGGTCACACTCTCGTTTTCAGTTATGCCCGTTTCAGTGTTCTCGTTTCCTGAACGCAAAACCTCATAAACTGACATTGCCGGATGTTCTACTTGCGAAAGTTCATCCTTCAAACGCGGAGTTTTACAATCATTTCGATTCGTCGGTTTTATTTCCAAAATACGGCTTTGACGTGAACCTTGTGCGATCCAGCAATATGCTTTGGACTTTGGTATGTAGTAATTTGGTGATGTATCATGCGCTCTATCAACATTGTTGACCCGTTCGGAATAGGAAGCATTCAATGAAGAACAGACATCGATTTTAAGAGCTTTAAGGGCGCCAGGGGGCATAATTCAAAACGAATTCCTTAATACGGAGCTTTCTCAGATGCTAGTTAGAAATAAAAGCATCAATCGAATATAGCCTACAAAAGCGATCTAGAAGGGGCGTATGTAGATGACTTGGGCCCCAAACCCATTCGACATACGTGCGCCGGCGACCTTCTTGATACGGTATCTAAAAAGGCGGCGGGCGAGATGATATCCCGAGTATCGAGTATTTATTCGATACCAATAGCGTTTGTCTTGTCGATAACTCGCGGCAAGGTCTGTCTAGGGACACCACATCTAAATTCAGATATGATTAGTGCCGTACATAGCCTTACATACAAATTACTATGGGGAGGTATGGGCATCCCCATCTCACTCCTGCTGCATTCAATTGACTTCGCTGTCGCCACCAACTTGTACTAGAACCAGTTGGAGGCTCAATTCACAGGGACTTCCACACCAGCAACATAAAGGCAAATGGCCACCCTGCTGGGATGTAACATATGAAGTGAATGGAACACAACCTCCAAATGGATGCCCGCCAGCAACAATAGTGTAAGAAGCAGGACACCCTAGTGTCAGGGGTAGCTAAGGTGGATCGCACCCAGCATGCAGTGTACAGTGGTCCCCTTGTAGAGAGTGGGAACACTCAGCCTATGATGCTTTTTCACTGTGGCAAGAAAACCTCGAGTTGAGGATGAGGAAGGTGAAGGATATGGAGGGAGTGAGATGCCCATACCTCCCCATAGTAAGTTGTATGTAAGGCTATGTACGGCACTGGCCGTATCCTGTTTAGGTGTGGTGTCCCTAGACAGACGTCTCCCGGCAGTACCACAATTCTCAAGGAAAAACATCAGATTTGACAGCATCTTTCTTTCGTTTCAGGCCAATAAAATACGCTTCCTTAGACTCCTATTACTCTTTTTAGTCTAGAACATGTATAAATGGGATCGAGGGTCCAACCTTGCGCGATGAATCAGGCTTCTCCCTGTATACCTTTTGAAAAAGCGATCGTAGACGATTCTCCAACAGTTGGTCCTCCGAACCCTGGTAAAATTTGCAAATAAGATGCCCTCCGGGCCTCAAAACGTCAAAACTGAAATTCAGTGCGGCACTACATAAATCCTAAACTGCTGTTAGCTAAATCCCGAACTTTTTACCCAGAGATGAACATCGTTACACGTACCATACTCCCGGAGTGGTCTCGAACATTGAGACCGCTCGTATTCAACATCCTATGATACGGGTCATTAAGACTTCTTTTCCAAAAACCGGTGGTTGGCTGCCAGGGAGCAGACATATCACTTAGAACAACATCAACAGTTCCATCGTTGCCAAACATCGGTGATGTATCGTCAACGCAAGGTTCCTCCGTGATGAGTTCGCTTTTGCCTCTTTCTCGGTCAATATACCCTGGCTCGAAACCCTCTACTTCATTCTTCACCGTGGGTTGTTCACGGTTCGAGGTAGGTATACAATTTTCCCTGCGTGGTCTACCCCGTTCGGGATTCCGAAGGAATTCTCGCACATATGCCTGAACTCGGGGGGAAAGAAAATTACCCTGAATTGTGGAAACTCCTTTGGGGGGCTGAGCGGGAATAATGTCGATTCCAAGGACGCGACCGTTTGGATGCGTTAGCTCGACTGCCACCTATTTAATATATATTAGGATTTGAGTACGGAGTAATTATATAACAATGCTCGTGGGAAAGCTGACTTGAGACCAGGAGCCGGGAGCGAAGCCCTTGGAAAATGGCATTAGCTAGCCCGTCACCTGAAAGCATCGGGATTTGATACCAGATCGACAACTGTCTGTCCAGCTTTGAAAATATGATGCCGGTCGTTAATCTATAAAAATTAGTTTGATATTTTCTCAAAGCATCAGAGACGGAAAATCACTTGGATTAGTTTAAATGCCGCACGACTTTTCAGCCCTTTAAGATTCGCCTCTCTCCGGTAAATATCCTTGACTTGTCGTGCTTGCCATTGCTTCGAGGATGCGAGCCTGAATGGGAACAAACCGACTGTTCGCGGTGTAGGACTGACACTAAGATGCTGGAAAACGCGATAACTCCCATCTCGTAGCTTCATTTTCTCAAATGGTTTATGTTAAAATAAAAACCCAATACTCTGTACGCAGTCATGATCGAATTGCAGCTATGAAGACGCTGGGGGGTTTAAGCTTAAAGTGTGGAAGCTCTCGGATCTGAGCTACCCTTCATTATGATTTCGCCGCCAACCTTCGCGTTGCCCGTGCGCGTTATGTCTCTGTGCCACTCCATAGATCGATCAGGCTGCTGACTAAGGGCTTGGTTTTTACAAAAAAGTTCGGATTTTTTTTTTCAGTTGAATGGATCCGTGCTCTACGGGAGTTTTCTCGAGGCACTGGCTTTTCATCAGACACCGAAAAAATGGCAAAGCGGCCGCTCCCCATAGAGTCCAATGCGGAACCCAAGCGAAAAAAGAATAAGAAAAATGAGTCGACAACCCCTAAGCTAGCTGCTAACGGGCAGGGTCACAACCTGGAACCAAGCGCGGTCAAGAATTCAACTTCGCCCTACATTCCAAACCCGGAGCTCGATTCGCTTCCCCAAGCTACTGTCGATGAGTATCTAAAGGCCAACTCCATCGATATTGCCGATCAAGGCGAAGCCGAACCATTACGTCCGATAACCTCGTTCTCGTTTCTCCCTCAGCCCTCAGAACCTCTGTACCGTCCCCTCAAAGCGTTCTCAGCACCTACTCCTATTCAGGCAGTCTCTTGGCCATTGGCCTTCGCCGGTCGAGATGTGATAGGAGTAGCGGAAACGGGAAGTGGGAAAACGCTTGCGTTTGGCTTGCCATGTCTGCGGAAAATTTTGGAGTTGAATAGTTCTCGGAAGTCCCGTAGGCTATCTGCTGTCATAATTACACCCACAAGAGAGCTTGCAATGCAAATTTACGATCAACTTTTGAAGTTCACATCTTCTGTAGACGTGGGCATCGCATGTATATATGGAGGAGCCCCAAAAGACCAACAACGTCGAGAAGCTCGGAATGCGTCGATTATCGTCGCAACGCCGGGAAGGCTTAAGGACTTCCAAAGCGAACAGGGAATAGATTTGAGCAAGGTTAAATACCTAGTGTTAGATGAGGCGGACAGGATGTTGGATAAGGGTTTTGAGCAGGATATCCGGGATATCATTGGAACGATGCCTTCAGCCCGCAAACGACAAACCATTATGTTCACTGCAACATGGCCTGACTCCGTGAAAAACCTTGCGGCGACATTCACCAGAGATCCTGTTACTATCACCATCGGAGAGAGAACATCGGATATTCGTGCGAATGACCGGATCAAACAGGTTGTGGAGGTTTTAAACCCCCATGAAAAGGACGGCCGCTTGCTGGAAGTGATTCGAAAATACCAGGGGAAAGATAACAGTAGCGACAGCATAAATGTTTTTTGTCTCTATAAGAAGGAGGCTATGCGGGTTGTCTACGGTCATCCGTTCTAAGGGCTTCAAAGTCGC